TTCTTCACTCAAAGGGTAGTGAATTTATGGAATTAACTACCCCAGAAGGCTGAAGACGCTCAGTCCTTGAACATCTTCAAGGCTGAGACTGATAGATTTTTTAAAAATAGAAGGATTAGGGGTTATGGGGACAGGGCAGGTAATTAGAGTTTGGTCTGAAGATCAGCCATGATCTTATCGAATGGCGGGGCAGGCTGGGGCTGAATGGCCTACTCCTGCTCCTAATTCTTATGTTCTTATGTTCTTATGCAGGCTGGCGTGAGCCAAGGCTTGGGGACACCAGAGTGCTCGTTGGGGTAACTGCTGGAGTCTAACCAGCTAAAACCACATAGTTTGTCATTATAGCAGGTATCAGTAATCTGAGTTTTGTTTGGAATGTGGGGTCTTTTTTACACTTATTTACCTACAGAGACGGACATGCACTATTTATTGTTTTACTTATTGTTCAAATGCAGAGGAGCACTCAAGGCCTACATATCCCTGTGTAGGTCCTGTGTAGGCACTATAGGATGCTACCCTGTGTGACTTATGCTATATGAATGCAAGTTTTTGTTGTTGTGTAGGTCCTGTGTACATACCTTGGTCAATGCTCCTGGTGAGGAGGAGATCAGACTCAGCTGTGATTTCTCATGTCAAATAGCCTGCAAACAAGCATAGACTGTGCTCACACACGAAGATTGGTCATTAGTGACTTGTGTTAGGGAATATAACCCCCGGAAAAACAATCCGCTAATCCACTAACAGGTAAACAGTAACGTGTGGAGTAAGGAAATTTGCCCAACGTTTCACCCTGCCAGGATTCGAACCCAGGTCCTCTCGCTTGTGAGGCAAGTCCTCTTAATCACTAAGCTACAGAACTCCACTTAAGACATCACGCAGTCAATATTGCGCTGCATTTATTTATGTGTTTATACATATGCCTAACTCGTCACTCCTGATAACTCATCACCGAATCCTTTTCCCTTGGAGTGATGAGTTTACTGCAGTTTGCTTTTGGGGTGAAATGTATGAATAGTTACATCCAATGATGGAAAATAGTATCTCTTGGATGAAGTTAGTAATGATAAATATTTTCATTTCTCTGTTTGTACTGCCCTGTCTATCACTGAATGTGCATTGAGTCCTTCAAACCTTAATTGCAAATATATCAAATATTTTTTGAAGCCTCTGAAATTCACTTTTATCACCTGGCAAGAGGTTTTGTTTAGCAATCCTTAGCACAAATAGACATGGGCTATTTATTGCATCATCCATAATTATCTTATCTTTTGTTGATCGCTTTGGCCAGATCCCATGTAATTTTATTGAGGACTTCAGGATTAAATGGAGTACTGTAGCTCAGTGATCAGAGCACTCACCTCCCAAGTAAGAGACGTGGGTTCAATTCCCGGCAGGGCAAAATGTTGGGCAAGTTTCCTTACTGAGCAGTGAGTAGGAACCTGGTTTCTAGTCGATTGACGGATTGCTTTTCTGGGGGTACTAATTCTTTAACAAAATATATAATAATAATAAATTGGTCACCGCAATCCATGACTGTTTGTGGGGACGCTGCTGTGTGCAATTGTCTACTCATTTCGCCCACAAAATATACAGTCAATTCACTTTACAGTATATTCTGTGAAGCGCTTTGAGACGTCTAGAAGACGTCATAAGGCGCTGTATAAAATGCAAGGATTATTATTATTTCCATAAATGAATATCTGTCTTGTTAAATTGACATGAAACTAAATATTTTGAACACTCCTAGAGTGGGAGCATAGGGCCATTGTACCACGTAAGAAGCCAGGTTGCAAATTACATCTGACCTTACCTTTCCTTTCAGTCCCAGGTAATCCAGAGAGATTACACACAGAGAGTGGGTGAATTTATTGCAAATCTAGTATCAATGGAGTTAGATGGGGGTCTTTAGTCGTACAAGGAGACCTCATAGTCTCAGAGGGGATCTCATAGAGGTGTACAGCATTTAAAAATGGGATTGCAAAAGTAAACCCAGGACGATACCTTTGGATGCTTTAAGACATAATAATAATAATCCTTGCATTTGATATAGTTCTCTATTGCATCTTCGATACATCTCAAAGTGCTTCACAGAACACACTGCAAAGTGAATTGACCATGTATTTTGTGGGTGAAATGCTGCAGCCAATTGAGCACACCAGTGTCCCATAAACAGTCATGGACTGAGTGATCAAATTGATTAGGTCAAGAGGATATGTCAAGAGACATTAGATCAAGAGGATGTAGGTTTCAAGATGTAAAGGGCAATTTCACGATAGACACCAGGAAGTATTTTTTTAACCAGAGGATAATTAACAACTGGAACCGGTTGCCAGAAAGGGTGATTGGGGCCAGGACACTGAATGCAAGGAGTATTAGAGATTCGGGAGCTCCGGTATTATTCAAATATTGTGTGGAGTCCCGTAAAGTGCTCACCTCGCAAGCGAGAAACAAGGTGAAACCTCAGGAAAGTTTCTTTACTCCACACTTCTCTGCTTACCTAGCAGTAAGTAGGAACCTGGTTGTTAGTCGATTGGCAGATTGCTTTCCGGGATTAATAATGCCTAAAAAAACAATTTGGTCACTCAATCCACAACTGTTTATGGGACACTGCTGTGCAAAATTGGCTGTCACATTTTGCCCACAAGATACAGTCAATTCATTTCACATTCTATGAAGTGCTTTGTGACATCTCCATGATGTGATAAAGCGCAAGGATTATCATTATTTATTATTATTGTGTATCAGCTGGTTCAAGAGAGTTTAAGATAGCTCTTTGGGAAAAGGTGTATGAGGGAGAGATTGGATTTTCTGTTGAGCTTGAGACTGGCCATGTGCCTTGTGTCATTCTGTTTCCGAATGAGCATGTTTTAAAATTGATTCATTCTCGTCTTGTGAATCAGTCTGAGATGATCAGATGCAAATAGAAATTCAACGAACAGTCAAAGGAATGTTTCACCTGATAAACCCAATCATTGAAACCTGTCAAGGTCTGCTCTAAAGCATTAAATTGTCCCTGATTCAACTTAAACATACACAAAGCCAGAAAAATCTTCCCTCCTTTTTTTTGGTCTGCACAGGCTGAGAACTGGCAAATGAAGTTTAATCCCAGTAAATGCAAAATACTACATATAGAATCCAAAAATAAGAAACCAAGTGCTCCATAGTACTTGCCGAAGGGGAAGCTGAAAGAGATCTAGGGGTATTAGTTGACTCTTCGGTTACTATGTCAAAACAGTATGAGGCAGCGATAAACAAGAGAAACAGGAAGCTGATTGCTAGATCAGTTGAGTTCAGATCCACAGACACATTATTGGGTAATACAGTGCTCTGGTCAGACCGCACCTTAAATGTTGCTTATAGAAGCACTCTGAGACACCACCCTCCGTGAGGGATGATAAATAAATGCAAGTTGTTGTACAGGTCTGGTCACTGCAACATAAAGGGGCCTGAATCCAGCCTCTTATGACTGTGCAGAGGAGGGCAAGGAGGATGATGCCCACTGTTAGAGGAATGAGCTATGAGCAATGGCTAAACAAGCCAAGAGGGTGTTTCAGTCTTGAGAGAAGATGACTCAGAGGGGACCTTATAGAGGCTAATGGGATTGATAAAGTAAACCCAGATCAATACTTTAAGATGTATTAAGATAGCAGAACAAGAGGATATTGGTTTAGAGTTGTAAAGGACAGTTTCAGGAAAGATATCATCAAGTTTTTCTTCATACAGAGACTGGAACAGGTTGCCTGGAAGGTTGATTGAGGTCAGAAACTGGGACTCATTTAAGAAACTTGACACAGTGATGGGGTGGGGGGGATCGGTAGGTTGGGTGTACTGGAGGGATGTGATTGGATGGGCCCGAGGGCTTTCTTCATTGGAAACAATTTTATGATCTCCTAAAATGACTCAAGTACCCTCTTCTAAAACAACAACAACAAGATTACATTTGTATGGCGCCTTTCACGTCGGGAGGATGTCCCAAGGCTCTCGACAGAGTAAGCATTTCAGACCCGAGCCGGCTGAGCGGATGGAACGGGTGGGTTGGTTCGGGGTTAGGAGATCGCAGAGGTAGGATGGGGTGAGACCATGGAGGGCTTTGTATGTGAGGACCAGGATCTTGAACTGGATCCTATGAAGGATAGAGAGCCAATGGAGTCGGGTGAGAGTGGGGGAGATGGGGTCACGGAGTTTGGTGCAGGAGAGGACATGGGCTGCAGAGTTCTGGATAATCTGCAGCCTGTGGAGGGAGGAGTTGGGAAGGCCGACAAGCAGGGCGTTTGCATAGTCTTAAAAACTTAAATTAAATTAAATCAAAAGCTGCTAAATTAGGAACATAGGAACAGGAGGAGGCCATTCAGGACCTCAAGCCTGTACCGCCATTATATAAGATCATGGCTGATCTGTACCTCAACTCCAATTATCTACCCTTGCCCCAGATCCCTTGATACCCTGAACTAACATAAATCTATCCACCTCAATCTTGAAAATGTGAATAGATCCAGCATCCACAGCCTTTTGAGGAAGAATGTTTCCGCTCCCCTTTGTGTGAAAAAACACTTCCTGATTTCACTCCTTAATGGCCTAGCTCTAATTTTAAGACTATGCCCCCTTGTTCTGGTTTCCCCACCAGAGGAAATAGTTTCTCTTATCTGTTCCCTTATCACCACCATCTTGTGTGTCAAGCTGGCTCAGTCGGTAGCTCTCTCGCTCCGAGTCAGATGGTTGTGGTTGCAATACGAGGAAATTGTTTTTCTAGTAGATTGAGCCGTCCATCGTCTCTTAGAAACTGTCGAGTTGAATCTCACACCCATTTTATATAAGCAGGTCAACTCACTGTTTTATTCAGCCTCAGTGAACCATTTCCTTGGCTCCCACATTTAGCAGATGTGCCACATATCACTTAAAACTTCATTTCAATTCTCCTGCTTGCAATCAGGGCAAAAGGCAATTCATCAGCCAGAGATTTGCAAGCACTTCCTTGTGGATCCATCATCAAACACGTAGAGATGGCCAGCAAAGCAGCCCTAAAAGGCAGCGGGAGGACAGAGTTGAGTGCAAAAAGACTGCAGCCTTTGCAGTAAATAATTCCGCACTGATTGCAATAAATCTGCAAGGCGGTCTTAACAACATAATACAGAGTCAAGTGTTTCGCTTTTAATCAGTCAGAATCTTCCTGAAAAATACACTGCGGTGGCTGTAATGACCTATTGGAGGAAATGAGGAAGGATTGGGAGTTTTCAAGGCTGACTCAACCAGATTATGCTGGTTTCTGCCGATGAAGCTCCCCACAAGCCCCAAGATAGTTTCAAAATGTGATACAGGCCTAGAGAAATAATAAGGCTCATCGGAGCTTTCTCAACTCCTCAGCACAGTTTCCAGGCCAGAGTGAGTGGTCCCCAAACACATTGACATCTCCTCCTTGGTCTCGGCTTCCTTTAATTTAGATGAATCATTTTGGGATGTTAAGGAGCTTGGCACTTGGACTTAGTGTGTGAAAATATCTGGAAAGTTTAGTAGGTATTGCTGAAGTATATGATCAAATGTATAGTTTCATGTGCTGCACTTACCCAACAAGGACCAATATAGGGCTTTCAATTGAAGACCTGTTTTTACCTGTAAGGTTTCATGGTGAGGTATAGAATCATAGAATCTTACAGCACAGAAGGAGGCCACTTGGCTCATCATGCACATGCATGTTGGTTCTTTGAAAGAGCTATCCATCTAGCCCCACTCCCCCGCTCTTATCTCATAGCATTGCAATTTTTTCCTTTTCAAGTACCTATCCAATTCCCTATCCAATTCCCTTCCCCAAATACCAGGATTATTATTATACATTTAATGTATATAAGACTCTGTTTAAATGCAGGTTATTATTTTAATGTGTGGGAGATTTTTCCTTTTTAAGTACCTATCTAATTCCCTTTTGAAAGTTATTATGTGTCTGCTTCCACCGCCCTTTCAGTCTATACAACATCTGTCATTTTCAAAATACAGTGAACTCCTGATTATGTGTCACTCCAAGGCTCTGTGACAACTTATCTAAAGTGTTGAGTTAGGCATCGAGTGGCAGATTGCTTTCCGGGGGTAGTAATCCCTTAAAAAAATAATAATTTGGTCACTCAATCTACTACTGTTTGTGGGGATCCTGCTGAGCGCCGTTAATTGGCTGCAATTCACTTTACAGTGTATCCTGTGAAGCGCTTTGAGACGTCTTGAAGACGTGATCAGGCGCTGTATCAAATGCAAGGAATATTATTATTAACCTATAACCTCTCTTTTGCTGCAGTCATGTGATGCACGCAGTGTCCTACAATGACATGGAATGTGGTCACCACTCTGCCTTCGCCACAAGACAAGTCGAGATCAAACGGGATTCTATCTATGGCTTTGGGTTTGTGGCTGGGAGTGAGAAGCCAGTGATTGTGAGAGCTGTGACACCAGGTGAGACCTGTGTGAAGCAGGTAAAGTGACTATGAGGCATTCCCCCTGCTTTACGTTCACTCATGTGCTTAGTGCAAGTTTGCTCTACATCCCAATCTCATCCACTGTAGAGTTCCTGCATCCTTGCCTCGCGCTTCATTCAGTTACATTTCATTATAATGACCGTTAGGTTATGGCATGGGAGGTGTCTTACCATTAAATCAGTCAGGCTGGCCACAGTAAGACTTTGGCTTCCATATGTTTGTCCTTCTGGTCGATGTGGATAAACTTTATTGAGAAAAGAATAAAACAAACTAACTGTGTCTACTGGAGTCCACAATGCGGAAATTTCAAATGAGATTCTTTAATGAAGGAATCTGTACAAAAGGCACAGTAACTCTCTTGGGCATTCCTGCTGACGTGATGTATGTTTGTGGTAGGGTTGATATCGGTCTGTGTGACTTGTTACTGAAATGCCACCCCACTTGGATTTCTTAACTAAGGAATTCCATTTGAAATCGCTGTGTTTTACATGATAAGCAAATAGATACAATAGGCTTGCAGTGTTACACTGAGGTCTGAGTTCAATATAGAAGCTACTTGGATTGGAGCCCACTTCCAGTTATTCTCTGGAACAATTTGCAGATCATTTCGCCCACAAAATATACAGTCAATTCACTTTACAGTATATTCTGTGAAGCGCTTTGAGACGTCTCGAAGACGTGATGAGGCGCTATATCAAATGGAAGGATTTTATTAATATTAATATTGTTTATTCGCTGAATTAATTTAAAGTTGAATTGGATACTTCTTGGTTCTGGTGCAAAAAATACTACGCTATTAGAGGGTCAAAGCCACACAGCGATTTGAGTGTTAATCCCAGAGGATCCGTCTCTTTCCCATATCTCCCACTCGTGCCGAATCTGATGGACCAAACGCATTCATGTTCACTTTCACGTAGAAGATCCCGATGGATCGACTCCTCTTTCAATCCCATTTTATTTTTGTGTAAGAAGTTCAATGGATCATATCATTTCTCATCTCTCCCATTGTATAGAGTTCAAGAAATTCAAATTGAAATCCGTGCAGTGTGCTTCAACCTTGACACTTAGAGATGGCCACAAAATACACAGTCATTGTACTTTACTGTATATTCTGTGAAGTATTTTGAGACATCTCAACAACGTGATAAGGTGCTATATCAAATGCAAGGATTATTATTATTATTATTATTGCCAAAGTGTTAGTATGTAATTTTCCAAATCATTCAGAATATCAATGTATAAGCGCTCTGAGATGCTACCCTATGTGGAGTGTGCTATATAGGTGCAAGTTGTTGTTGTTGTGTAAACCCCCTCCCTGTTACACAGACCCCAGCACACACTCCCAGTTCCCAAGCTTGAGGATTGGTCTCAGCAATGACTCACGCTTGGATGCTCATTGCATTGGCTGGTGACACAGATCTCTCATGTGAAGCTATGGAAAAAAAACATTGTCCTCAGCTGATCAAGTCTTTTATTCTTCGTTCAATTCTTGGGACTGTAAAACTTGATTAAATGATCTGAGCTACTGAATTTGAAGATTGGTCATTTAAATAGTTGGTTAAGAAAAAATAAAGTCATCCCTTTATCAATATAAGATTCTGCAAGAATATAATTTATCTTTCGCCACAGTCAATTCACTTTACAGCATATTCTGTGAAGCGCTTTGAGGCATCTCCAAGACATGATAAGGCGCTATATCAAGTGCAAGGATTATGATTATTATTATCTGTTAGGAAACACCGACACTTATTTAAGCATTGAACACTGTCATTAGGAGTCAAGCCAATGTAAATTTCTGTATTTCTCTGTCAGGCGGTCCATCGGAGGGCAAACTCATACCAGGAGATCAGATTCTAGCCATAGATGATGAGGTGGTCAGCACTGCCCCGAGGGAGAGAGTCATAGACCTTGTAAGGTAATCTCTTGCCACATTTGTTCAGTCATCAAAGCACCATTTTTTTACATAAGATCATAAGAATTTGCTAGACAAAAGACCAAGGTCCATCCAATTCACCTTCCACCATCCTGGCAGTCACTTGACATGTCATCCTATGATATTATTTCCTTAAATAATATATCTAAGTCCTGAAAATAGAGCTTAGATATCCATTTAACCCCCGCAAATAGGATCTCCAAGAGGGAAAAATAAAGGGGCTCCCATCCATCCAGAATTAGCCACAAACTGCATATTCTTTTCTTACAAAAAATGCACACCAACCAACATTATTTTGGAATTAAACTGTGCAATTAATCCTTTTGAGTTCTGCACTAACATTTCTGCACCAAAAATATATCTGTCCATATCTATGTGTGTACATATATATACATTATATGTATAAAAGCACGATTTGTTTCAGTGAATTTAAAGTGTGAGTTTTCTGTGATTTTTCTCTGCTGCAGAAAATACTTGCATATCTCAGACAAATAATAAATTGGACAAAATTAACACCATTAGAACCAGGAAGATGTACTGTAAGACACAGTCGGAGGCCATTTGACCCATTATTTTGTGTCTCGTTAAACTATGAAAAGCTTCTATTGTAACACAAGGACAGATGACTAATAATAATAATCCTTCCATTTGATATAGTGTTGAGATGTCTCACAGCATGTCACAGAATCTAGATAAAGTGAATTGACTGCATATTCTGTGGACAAATCGCAGCAGCCAATTAATTGCTCACACCAGTGCTTCACAAACAGTCGTGGATTGAGTGACCAAATTGCTATTTATTTGTTTGTTTATTTGGAAGGGATTATTACCCCAGAAAGTGATCGACCAATTGATTAACAATTGGTTCCTACTTATTGCTAGGTAAACAGAGGAGTGTGGAGTAAGGAAACTTGTCTAAGGTTTCGCCCCGCGAGGGAATCAAACCCATTACCTCTCGCTTGCGAGGCGAGTGCTCTAACCCACTGAGCTACAGCACTTCACTAACTCAACGCAGATTGAGAATGCCTCAAATAATCAAGCTTTCTTGCATAATACCTCAACAACTTCACCACAATAACCTCAGGCAGGATCCTGGTGATGCGAGTATTTGGGTGAGAAGTTACTGCTCTCCAGTGAATACTTTGTGGAAATTCATTTACAATTCTACAGTTTTATCCTGTGTAAGTTCACTGCCACTTTTATCTCTTCAAATCCACCTTTCTCTGTGATTCCCCTTTAACATTATGATGCGAGGAGAAGCTTGAGTTTAATGTTCAGCTGTGCTCATCTCCAGGGTTCAGTTGCACTTTCAATATCCCTTTTAACCTGTTAGAAAATTACTACGCTCCCCTCCGGTGCTCTCCACGTCCTATTTCTCTGTTGGCGTCAGACAATTTCCTCTCATTTATTCCCATTTAAGCAAGCTATTTTGGATTATGCCTCATCTGCTTACGTTAGCGTAAATACTTATCTCTGACGCTCAGCTTTAATGTTTTAAGATGAAAGACATTAAAGTGAGCTTTTGCAGCAACACAGAACAGGAGGTCAGGAAGGCATTTAGATTGGGATGCCATACGCACAAAATAACGCACAAGACAGGACTGAATCTCGAAGAGGATAATGCACAGTGCGTTGCAGCAGTAATGCACTGGGAGATTGCCATACTGCACTGAAAGTAATTACTGAAAGAGACCTTTAGGCACTATAAAAATACAATACAATACAAAATTACATTTGTATACAGAGCCTTTCATGTTGGGAGGACGTCCCAAGGTGCTGGACAGTCAGGAATTTGGAACTGAGCTGGGGGTTGGGATCAGGAGGGATGGAGGCAAGGAGGATAAGGGTAGGAGGGTGACCGAAGGCACGGTCGAAGAGGATAGTCTTGAAACGTGCCTTGAAGGAGGGAAGGGAGGGAATGAGGTGAAGAGTCTGTGGGATGGAGTTCAAAGTGTGCACTTTCCTCTCCACGTTACTGAGTTGGGTTTGTTGGCCAGCCAACTGTCTGACACACACTGAAACCCATCACCATGTTATAATAATAATCATTGCATTTGAAAGAGCGTCTTATCACTGTATTGAGATGTCTCAATGCGCTTCACAGAATATACTTTAAAATGAATTGACTGTAAATCAAATAAATAATAATAATAATCCTTGCAATTGATATAGCGCTTTTCACGTCTTCTAGACGTCTCAAAGCGCTTCACAGGATATATTGTGAATTGAATTGACTGTATATTTGTGGGCGAAATGCGGCAGCCAATTGCGCGCAGCAGTCTCCCACAAACAGTCGTGGATTGAGTGACCAAATTATTATTATTATTCCTTTTTGAAGGGAGTATTATTGTCATTATTACCCCAAAAAAGTGATCTGCCAATCACCTAACAACCGGGTTCCTACTTACTGCTAGGTAAACAGAAGTGTGTGGAGTAAGGAAACTTGACTCAGGTTTCAACCTGCCCAGGAATTGAACCTGAGTCCTCTCGCTGGTGCTCTAACCACCACACTACAGGGCTCTGTGTTAGAGAGACTCCAAACCCAAACTACTGAGAGCTCCATATACTTATGAAAATATCCGTGTGTCTGTAATGATGTGCGCACTCTCTCCCTGGATGGACGCACCCTGCTCACCAAATCCAGTCAATTATTGGGCAAGAGCCAAGGCTTGGAGAAGACTAAATGTTGTAGTAAGACACTAGGTCTAATGGAGTCCATGGAGTTCTGTAGAGTATGGTTAGAGCACTTGCCTCGCAAACGAAAGAACCTGGGTTTGATTCCTGGGCGAGGCGAAACCTTAAACAAGTTTCCTTACTCCAAGTGCTCTGGTTACTTAGTAGTAAGTAAGAACCCGGTTGTTAGTCAATTGCCGGACAACTATTATAGGGATAATAATCCCCTCGCAAAAAAAAATGATGTCTCAGGAACATCCGGCAGGCAGGCACCAGCTGCGGCCATTACACCGAATCACCAAGACGACACACTTAAGCGCATTAACGCCCTCCTGTCTGGCTCCAAAACCACTTGGGTACAGCCAGATGGCTTGAGAAGCTTAGTGCTTTGTCAGTAAGCCATGTCTGTGAGGCAGTCTCCATAACTGAAGACACTGTGTTGGCAATACTACTGTGAAGAGCTTTGAGGCAGTTAGGTGCTATCGTGTGTCAGCCTGATGCAGTGGTAGCTCTCTCTCTTGCCTTCGATTCATATTGGGACTTGGAATCACATACTCTAAGCCTACACTCCAATGCAGTGCTGGGGGGGGGAGGTGTTGTATTGTTGGAGGTGCCGTCTTTTCGATGAGACGTTGAACCGAGGTCCGGTCTGCCTGTTCAGGTGGATGTTAAAGATCTCATGGCACTGTTCGAAAAGAGGAGGGAGTTTCTCTCTCTCAGTGTCCTGGCCAACAATCCCCCAAATAAAATTGATCACTCACTCCATGGCTGTTTGTGGGGCATTGCTGCATGCAAACTGGCTGCCACGTTTCACCCACAAAATACACAGCCTTATACACTTTACACTATATTCTGTGAAGCGCTTTGAGACGTCTCGAAGATGTGTTAAGGTGCTATATCAAATACAAGTATCATTATTATTATAAATAAATAGAAAGGCAAGTCCTTGTTGCTGAATGGGTTCCTATGGTCTGCCAGGTGTTTGACACATGCGGAAACCCATCACCGTGATCAGCCGGTTGTCTGACACATGCGGAATTCATGCTAGAGAGACTCCTATTTCCTCCAAAACAATCTCCTATGCTGTTATACATTGTCTGCCATGGTTGATGTGTCCCATTAACACTCCAGCTCTCCCGCACTTGGTAAACAAGTATTTTCAGGGACTGCAATAAAGAGCACAGCTGCTGCTAGACAGCATTGGGCAACAGTGCAGATGGCATTTACGGCCATTTTGCTTGTAAGGCTTTAATGTCATTGATTTAACAGATTCTCAGAGACTATTCAGAGACAACCCTGAGAGCTGTCACTGTGCGTGTACGCAGCAGCGCCTGCTACTATATCATAATAATACTCCTTGCATTTCATACAGTGCCTAATCACGTCATTGAAACATCTCAAAACATTTCACAGAATATATCGTTAAGTGGTATTTTGTTGGCAAAACGCAATGGCCAATTGCACACAGCAGTGTCCCACAAACAGTTGTGGATTGAGTGACTAATTATTTTTGGTGTGTGGAGTAAGGAAACTCGCCTAAGGTTTAATTGAAATCTAATGGAAGGGTTCAGATAGTTTATATTTTGAATCACCGACCAATACTTACCAAAAATAGAGGGGAATCTAGAAGCTAATGTTAGTGAGCAACTTAGGGAAATTAACATCAGTGAAGAATTAGTACTCGGGAAACAAATGCCCTGGACCTGATGACCTGCATCCTACGTTGGCTGATGAGATAGTGGATGCCTTGTTTTTGATCTTCCAAAATTCTCTGGATTCTGGAACGGTTCCCATTGATTGGAAGATTGCAAACGTAACACCACTATTTAAGAAGGGTGGGAGAGAGAAGATGAGGAACTAGAGACCAGTCAGTCTGACATCGGTGGTAGGGAAAATTCTAGAATCCTTAATTAGGGACGTCGTAGTGGGGTACTTAGAAAACCATAACATGTTAGGCAGAGACAACATGGCTTTTTACAAAAGAGAAGTCATGCTTAACAAATCTTTTCGAGTTTTTTGAGGATGTAACTAGCAGGTTAGATAGGGAGGGAACCAGTAGATGTAGTGTATTTAGATTTTCAGAAGGCATTCGACAAGGAGCACATAAAAGGCTGCTACACAAGATTAGGGCCCATGGAATTAAAGGCAATATATTAGCATGGATCGAAGAATAGCTAACGGGAAGAAATCAGAGAATAGGGATGAAGGGGTCCTTCTCAGATTGCAGGATGTGACTGGTGGAGTGCCACAAGGATCAGTGCTTGGGCCTCAACTATTAACAATCTGTATCAATGATCTAGATGAGGACGTAGAACTAAAAATATCTAAATTTGCGGATGATACCAAGCTAGGTGGGAGAGTAAGTGCTGAGGATGACACAAAAAATTGCAAAGGGATATAGGTAGGCTTGGGGAGTGGGCAAGAAGGTGGAGATGGAATATAATGTGGGTAAGTGTGAAGTTATTCACTAGGTAGTAAAAAGAGAAATGCCGATTATTTTCTAGAGGGGGCGAGACTAGATAGTGTTAGTGTTCAGAGGGATTTGGGTGTCCTTGTACACCAGTCACAAAAAGTTAGTATGCAGGTACAGCAACAACTAGGAAGGCTAATGGCATGTTGGTGTTTATTGCAAAAGGATTAGAATACAAGAGTAGGGAAGTCTTGCTGCGCTTGTATAAGGCCTTGGTGTGACCGCACCTAGAATATTGTGTGCAATTTTGGTTTCCTTATTTAAGAAAGGACATACTCGCCTTAGAGGGGGTGCAGCGCAGGTTCATTAGGTTAGTTCCTGGGATGAGGGGATTGACCTATGAGGATAGGCTGAATAAACTAGGGCTGTATTCTCTAGAATATAGAAGAAGTAAGGATGATCTTATAGAAACATATAAGATTCTTATGGGGCTTGACAGAGTAGACAGTGTGAGACTGTTTCCCGTGGTGGGAGAATCTATAACCAGGGGTCACAGTTTTAAGATTAAGGATCAACCTTTTCGAACAGATTTGAGGAAACACTTCTTCACTCAGAGGGTAGTGAATTGATGGAATTCTCTACCCAGAAGGCTGTAGATGCTCAGTCCTTAAACATATTCAAGACTGAGACTGATAGATTTCTAAAGCATAGAGGGATTAAGGGATTTGGGGATAAGGCGGGCAGATGGAGTTAGGTTAGAAGATCATCCATGATCTTACAGAATGGCGGGGCAGACTCGAGGGACTGAATGGTCTACTCCTGCTCCTAATTCCTATGTTCCTATAATCTCAGAAGTGAGTTACAGGCTATTTATCTAACCATAGGGTTGGTAAGTTTATATATTCTGTATCTATTAATTCTATAGCTATAATATAATAAATATCCAATTTATATTGGATTTTTCCATATAGTTTACTTGAATTCTATAATTAATTGCTTAACATCTGTGGTTCAGATCTTTGAAACTATTCCAATGTTTATGAGATGTCCTGAACCATTCGACTCAGTTCCAGGTTATAACTCGTTCCTGAGTTTGCGTTATTCTGACATACACAATCAAAACCTTCAATTAGCTTCCAGCCTGCAACTCATTCACAGGATCCGTTGTTATTCTACATATAAACCATCCAAACACAACGATTGCCCTGTAACATTCTGGGGGAATCTCTTGTTCTTTATATTCCAAGGTCATTCATTAGGTTTTCATCCTGTTTGGCAGAGAATAGAAAGTGAAGTGTAACAGGGAATCAATCACTTCAGAATGGATCTTAAATGGATTTGGCTCTACTTCATTTCAAAAAGAATTTGTTGCACTTTACGGGCGACGCTGAATTCAGCCCCAGAGAAACGCTGACAAGCAGAGCTGAGAAGAATAGATTGAAAATTGCAGCTCGTAAACCTTAGATCTCGTCTCAGTGTGAGCGCGAGCAATGAAATCTAAACAGTGAAAACAGCAGACGTAATGCCTCCCTCTCTCTCTTACAGGAATGACAAAGATTCCATTTTCCTGACTGTCCTTCAGCCCCATCAAGTAAGCGCTCTCTCTCCCTCAATAATTCGCTGTGGGATACTCTGTGCCTAGTGCAACGAGCGGGGATTTACGGTACTGGAGACGATGGGGAGAATACATTGCCGTGTATGGCACAAAGATTAGGCACGCTACAGGGTGTTCACAAAGTCCTGTTACCCCCATCTATTGCCTGGTATCACTGTTTTGTAACAGGGGTAACAGGACTTTGTGGACACCCTGTCTGGAGGTTCATAACAAGGCAATGGACATTTGTGGGCAGCAACTGGTGATTCTCTCCGTGATTCTAGACTAAGGAGGAGAATGATTGTCCAGATTCCTGTTCCTGTGGCCCTAAAATTCCTTATGCCCTTAACCTTAGGACCATTGTTATAAAATATATGATTGCACGAAATTGTGGAAAATATTTAAACTCTGTCTTAATTTGGAAGCCGGTTTATTATTCATAACAATAATAATCCTTCCTTCTGATATGATGCATTTTACATCAGGAGGATACCTCAAAGCCCTTCACAGGATTTACTGTAAAATGTAGTGACTGTGTATTTTACAGGAGAGTGCAGCAGCCAATTTGCACACAGCAAAGTCCCACAACCAGCCATGAAGTGAGTGACTACAATTTTTGATTTGGGGCTTGTTGGCCAGGACACTGTGAGAAACTCCTTTCTCTTTTTAATTAGTGCCGTGGGATCTTTAACATCCTCGGTTTAACATCTCATCTGAAGGACGACAGCAACTGTTACACACCCTCCTGTGAGCACAAAGTCCCAGTTTGGGATTTGAATGTGCAGAATTCGTAAGCACTTTGGGAGACCTCTTTGAGAAGTAGTCCCTGTAAATCTGGTCTACAATCTGGAGGTACCTTCTGGACTTGGAGTAATTGTTCTGTTTTCCACTTCTTTGGCACAGAATTGTGTCACAAAGAACGATAGGTAACAAGATAACGAGTGACAGTCAGTTCGAGGCATCCCTTCAAAACACCGTCAGGACTTGTATGAGTTTCCATAAATTCTGAACAAGAACCACAGCAGATGGTTGGCAGGAGATCAGCTGCACTGTACAACAAAGAGAATGTTAAGTTGTCAGCACCGGAGGCCTTAAAGTAATGCAGGCGACCTCTTTTTCTCTCTTTCTCACCTCCTCGCATGATAAATATATGGACACTGTACCAATGTAGAACATGTATCAATCTGAGTGGGGTCAGTCTGGCTCAGTTGGTAGCACTTTTTTCCTTTGAGTGAGTACTTGTGAGTTCAAGCTCCCACTCAAAGGTTGGCACTCCTGACACTGGGTTAAACCGAGGGTCTGTCTTGCCTGTTCAGGTGGACGTTAAAGTTCCCACAGCACTATTCAAAAAGAGAAAGAGTTTCTCTCCTGCGGGGTTCCTGGCCAGCAATCCCCCGGATACAATTGGTCACTCACTCCATGGCTGTTTGTGGAGCTTTCTTGCGTGCAAAATTGGCTGCATTGTTCCCTAAGAAATACACAGTAAATCCTGTCAATTACTTTGATAATATTAATAATAATTCTTGCATTTGATATAGTGCCTTATCGCGTCTTCGAGACGTCTCAAAGCGCTTCACAGTATATACTCTGAGGCTGAATTGACTGAGCGTTTTGTGGGCGATTCGCGGCAGCCAATTGCTGTGATTGATAGAGCTCAACTAGATGATAAGGTGCTCTATCCAATATATAACCTGGATGCCATCTGACGTCTCTTTCAGTCATCCAAATCTGCCTTCATCAGTGCAGCGAAGAAAGCACAGCTGCGCTCAAACCCGGTGAAAGTACGGTTTTCCGAGGAGGTGACGGTGAACGGGAATAGCTCTGTGAGTAATGCTTACAGCCTCTGGTCACAAAGGGAAGAGAGAATAATAATAATAATGATGATAATAATAATCCTTGCATTTGATATAGCGCCTCAGCACGTCTTCGAGACGTCTCAAAGCGCTTCATAGAGTATACTGTAAAGTGAATTGACTGTATATTTTGTGGGCGAAACCCAGCAGCCAATTGCGCACAGCAGCGTCCCTCAAACAGTCAAGGATTTAGTGACCAACGTATTATTTTCTTTTTTCTTTTAAGGGATTTTTACCCCCAGCAAAGCGATCCGCCAATCGCCTAACAACCAGGTTCTTATTTACTGCTAGGTAAACAGAGGCATGTGGAGTAAGGAAACTTTCCCAACATTTCGCCCCTGCCGAAAATCGAGCCCAGGTCCTCTCGCTTTCGAGGCGAGTGCTCTAACCACTGAGCTACAGCACTCCACAAGCCAGGAACAAGAGAGCACAAATTTAAGATAATATAATCCTTGCATTTAACATAGAGCTTATTCTTGCATTTGATAGAGAGCGCTTTAAGTGCTCTGAGACACAGTCGCGCATGAAAGCCAATATATAAATACAAGTTGTTGCTGTTATTGCTTTGTTGTAACTTCTCAAACAGTATTTACCGGATTTACTCTAGAACAGAGGGACTGTGTATTTGTAAGTGAACACGGCAGACAATTTGCACACGTTAATGTCCCACAAACAGCCACGGAACGAGTGGCAACTTTTAGGTGGAGAGGGATTAAAGGGATATAAGAAAAAAATGTCTTCACACACATAGGGTGGTTGGAATATGAAATTCTCTACCACCGTATCTTGATTACTGTAAAGTTCTTTGATGTTATAGGAGCTATAAAAACCTAAGTTATTATGTGAGTTTATATGAATGTTCGCTAACAAAATGAACGTGCTATTTCATTCTTGGCTGGTCAGGATCTTATGAAAGAGGAAACCCTCATGTTGATCGCTAACGTGCTGAAGGTGTACCTGGAAAACGGGCAGATGAAGTCATTCACCTTTGATAGCAGAACCACAGTGAAGGTATCTCTGGCCTAACGCGACACACGACACACTGCACGCACCATAGAATAAAATAAAAATCCTTGCGCTTGATAATATTAATAATAATAATAATAATAATCCTCGCATTTGATATAGCGCTTTTCACGTCGGGAGGACGTCCCAAAGCGCTTCACAGAACACACTGTAAAGTTGATTGACTATATTTGTGGGCGAACGCGGCAGCCAATTGCGCACAGCGCACAGTGATGTAGTGCTTTATCACATCGCCGTAACACCTCAAAAGGCTTCACAGCCGATTTTTTTTCACTGAGGACAAGTGGGGCAAAGCTCCCTCCTAGATGTTTGGCTGACGTAATGGCTTGTACTCTGGCCTTTCACCCTCCATACCCTGGATCACAATGCAACCAGGCTATGGAGGTCTGCTTCTCTTGTCACTTTTTTCTCTGTGACTGTATTTATAGGTGAAAGTTGAAGCCAATTTGCGCACAGCAATGTCCCACAAACAGCCATGAAGTGAGTGACCAATTTTATCTGGAGGATTGTTGGTCAGGACACCGGACAAGACAGAAACTCCCCTCTCTTTACGAATAGCGCCCCGGGATCTTTAACGTCCATCTGCACAGTAGACGGGACCTCGGTTTAACTTCTCATCTGAAGGTCGAGTCGAACCTCGCTTGTGAGTAAGAGTGAGGTGGTCTCCCTGGTGAAAGCAGTGATGGGAGCTCTCAATGTGTTGTGTGTTTCCAGGATGTGATCCTCTCACTTCAGGACAGACTGTCTATCAGGTGTATAGAGCACTTTGCTCTGGTGCTGGAGGTGGGGAATGAGGGTCCAGGGAAGAAGTTGCTCGTGCTCCATGAGTCGGAGACTCTGATCCAGGTCAGTAGAGCACAGACTCTCATTGTTTACTATTTTATCCTCCAATTTATATCCTCCTCGGGGAGGGAGATAAGTGGGGGCTCCTTGATGTGCTTCTTGACATGCTAAGCAATAGGATGTCGGAGTTAAATCAACCCTCTGTGATGGTCTTGGTAGCCTGGTTCCTGAGCCACGTGGATCCACAATGCACGGTTGATAGACAACCCTGCCCAGCCTGGCTCATGGGTAGGTCTTGGAAGAGAGGATCTGGGATCTGGATCTAAGTCTGGGTCTACACCAGAGCTGCTCCAGGTGCTGATGTCTGTTCTACAACATCTCCTACCCTTGCTGTGGCTTCAGCTTCTGTTTGATCCTCCCTCACTCTAGGTGGTGCAGCGCAGTCACTTTAACACCATGAAGTGCATCCTGAGAATCACCTTCTTCCCAAAGGACCCAGTGGACCTTCTCAGACGAGACCCTGTGGCCTTTGAGTACCTGTACGCTCAGGTGAGAAAATCCAAGCGAGAGAGAGAAAGACAGCCAGAGAGAAAAATGGAGAGTCTCACACAGACAGGAGTAAACATGGATACGCACTCTCATCACATGTAGAAAATGGAGATAATTAGTGTTAGAATATTATTTACTCATTGTACTATATAATATTTATTAAAACCATGGCACGTATTTAACTGGACATAAAAGCTTTGTTTCCTCCCAACCAAACACGAACTTGAGTGTTTGAACGTTAGGTACAGCGAGAATGACAGGACTGATATTCACTGAGTCAGGTGTCTGATGCTTTGCTTCCCCAGAGCTGCAGTGATGTGATGAGGGAGAGATTCACTGGAGACCTCTCAGACGATGTGATGCTCCGACTGACTGCCCTGCACATCTACATAACGGTCTCCAACGCACGGTCCAACCAGAAGATCTCCCTCAGGAATGTCGAGTAAGTGTCCGCGTCACAGACAGCTTTCGCTGCTGAGGGAAAAGGCACCGCAACAAGGGGAACACCCCCAACAAGGGGAACTGAACAAAGGGAACCCCAACAATTTTGAGGGGAGTCAGCCGGGTCAGACACATACGGAAACCCATCACCATGCTTAAGAGTATCCAAACCAAAGTGAGAGTCTCATGCATCCCACCTACACATGGAGGGATTTCCGTGTTTTGGAATGGAATGCGCACTCTCTCCCTGGAGGGATGCATCCTGCTTACTTAATTCCGGAGAGTATGAGGCACAGGTTAGCAAGAACCAAGGCTTGGAGTCCCCAGAACGCGAGTTGGGGTAACTGCTGGAGTCTAACCAACTAAAACCGGACACCTTGCCATTGAGAGAACAGTCTGGCAAGCTTTCCTACTGCTTGTCCAGCTCGGACCACCCTCCCCGTGAGAGCTTTGGCTTACAGGGTAACAGGAGCTGAGTGGGATGATTCCCTGCTCCTAACGGAGGGAACCATAGCAAAGGGAGAACCACAATAAGGAGGGGAACTCAGAAAGTGAAACCATAACAACCAGAGGAAAATAGCAACAACAGGTCGTGTAAGGGTAACACTCCATGAGAAATCTTAATAAGGAGTAACTTAAGGATTGTGCCAAGCCCAATGTTCCAGTGTTGACATTCATGTCGAGTTAGAAATCTGTTCACCACCAAAGGCTCTGACTGAGAATAATATTTCAAGACATCTTGAACCTCAACAACAGCAATTTACAAAGGCTCAGGCGTTAGGATTTGACGTCAAGTTAAAGAAACCTAAGCAAAATCAGCCCCCAAAAAAGCAACTTGCACTGCCATCTTGTGGACGAACACAACAGTAATAATCCTTGCATTTGATATGGCGCCTTATCACGTCTTCGAGACGTCTCAAAGCGCTTCGCACAATATACTGTAAAGTGAATTGACTGGATATTTTGTGGGCGAAACGCGGCAGCCAATTTGCGCCCAAGTGTAAGAGAACCCAACTCAGCAGGGTATCAATCTTCATGGGTTACTCCACATGGAGCTCTGTAGCTCAGTGGTTAGAGCACTCGCCTCGCAAGCAACAGGGTCTGGCTTCGATTCCCTTGCAGGACGAAACATTTCCTTACTCCACACGCCTCTGTTTGTCCAGCAGTAAGTAGGAATCCGGTTGTTTTCGTCGACTGTGGATCGCTTTTCTGGGGGATATAATTCCTTCAAAAAAAAATAATAATTTGGTCTCTCAATCGACGACTGTTTGTGGTCACTGCTTTGGGCAATTAGCTGCTGCATTTCGCCCACAAAATACGCAGGCAATTGGCTGCGTACTTTCTCCCAAAAATATACGTATAGTTAATTCACTTTACAGTATATTCTGTGAAGTGCTTTGAGACATTTAAATAAATAATAATAATCCTCGCATTTGATATAGCGCTTTTCACATCTTCTCGACGTCTCAAAGCGCTTCACAGAATATGTTGTAAAGTGAATTGACTGTATATTTGTGGGTGAAACATTTCACATGATAAAGCACTCTATCCAATGCAAGGATTATTATTATAATGCCACAAGCAGCCACATATATGAGCCTTAAAAGCAAGCAGAGAATGACTAGACTAATCCCTGGTGTAAGGATGGTGTCAATGAGGTGTCCTGAAGATTAGTAGTTAGAGCATTCGCCTCACAAGAGAGAGGACTTGGGTTTGATTCACAGCAGGGTTAAAAGTTAGGCAAGCTTCCTTACTCTGTTTACCTAGAAGGAAGTAGGAACCCGGTTGTTAGTTGATTGGCGGATCGGTTTTCCAGAGGTAATAATCCCTTCAAAAAAATAATAATAATAATTTGGTCACTCAATCCACAACTGTTTGTGGGACACTGCTGTGCGCAACTGGCTACAATAATAATAATAATAATCCTTGCATTTGATATAGCGCCTTATCACATCATTGAGACATCTCAAAGTGCTTCACAGAATATATTGTCTGCCGTGTTTCGCCCACAAAATATTCTTCGTTCAATTCATGGGACTGTGGATTTGATTAAATGATCTGAGCTACTGATTTTGATGATTGATCATTTAAATAGATGGTTAAACAAAATACACAGTCTTATTTACAGTAAATTTACAGTATATTCTGTGATATAAGCACTTTGAGGCATCTCGAAAATGTGATAAGGCGCTATATCAAATACAAGGGTTATTATTATGATTTATTATCAGTTTGGCATTGAAAGAGAAGAGGGTTAAAAGGAGACCTTATTGAGGAATGTAAAATATTAAATAGTGCAGACACAGCAAACTAGGAGCATTGCTTCAGATTGAACAGAGAAAGCAGGACATCAATTGCACAAAACAATTTCAATACAGACATTGTAAATTTCATCACCCAATTTCTGCACAAAAAGTGCTGTGTTTGAAACGGTCTGCAGTGAGCTGCAGTGAAGCAGGAATATTATCAGCATTGGGAATGAAACTGGATGCTACATTGAGTAAGAAAGATATTAAATCTCGCTACAGAAGTCGCGTCCTTGGTTTATTCTCTTGTTGTTTGTTGCCTGTTAAAGTGAATCATGGTGATATCTGCAGTGTCTACAGTGAACGGTATTCTCCTGTTCTGTGTCCTAAAGCAAAACAATTATCAGGGTGAAAATTAGCAGTGTTTCTTAACTGATTTGTACACAGAACACACAGTCAATGCACTTTACAATAACCTCCTTGTGAAGTGCCTGAGTCATTCTCCAGAGGTGAAATGCCCTATATCAAATATTATTATTGTTAGTATTATTAGAGATTCAGCGTGTGAGAGACACTGTTTAAATGCAGGTTATTTTAACACGTGGGAGATGAGATTCTGTCCTGGTCCCAGATTTGGACAATAATGCAGCATTTCAGAACGACCACATTTTGGAAAATTGTTGAATTCAGCCTTAATTTTCCATCTGCGTTGCCATAGCTCTTAAAATAAATGTACAGAAAACGGGCTTCAAAATGAAAGCTGTATTTTTTTAAAAATATCATATTTTGGTGCTCTGAAATGCTACGAGAACAACAACTTGCATTGATATAGCACCCTTCATAATCGCTATGGACTGAGAGCAGTTCACCAAATATGTAACCAGCCTCTCGTTATAAGGGGCGAAATGTTCTGCGAAATGTAAATTTGAAGTCAATGTTTTGATCAAAATCAGTTTTCCTCTGAGACTGTTATGAAATAATTTTATGTCCAAACATTCCTATATGTGTAATATCTATAATCTATCCTATATTAAAGAGAGGTGAGTTTCTCTCTGTGTCCTAGCCAACAACCCCCCCCCCAAATAAAACTGGTTACTCACTTCATGACTGTTTGTGTGACATTTTGGATGCCAATTACCGCAATAAACTCCAGAGAAATTGGTCATTCAACACATGGCTGTTTGCAGGAAGTTACTGGAGCAAATGGATGCAGTGTTTTCTGACACAATCAATCAGTGATTGACAGAATGCCTTGTGAAGGGGTTTAATGTTTCAATATAATACCATCTACAGTATTAATATGGGCAGCACAAACTCAGCCATAGCAATCGACGTTAGAATATGCATTAAATATTGATACCACAAAAAGAGATAAAGGCTATAAAAGCCTAACTGCAAAATATTTGCAATAACTAAAGTTACTTACTTGAGACATTTAATCATAAAAATAATAATAATTCTTGCATTTGATATAGCGCTCTATTGCATCGTTGAGGCGTCTCAAGGCACTTCACAGAATATATTGTAAAGTGATTGACTGTGTATTTTGTGGGTGAGATACAGAAGCCAATGGCGCACAGCAGGGTCCCACAAACAGGCATGGATTGAATTGTGTAAAAATAAGACTGAGAAGAGAAGCTCCTTAATTTGGAGATTTATCCTTAAACCATAGGCATTTACTACACCACAGGAGGCCATTCACTTGAATTACTGTTGTTTGCTCCTCCAGTAAAGCCACCTTCACGGCTATTTATGGGACATTGCTAAATGCAAATTGGCTGCTGCTTTCGCCTACAAAATAAGATCATTACATTGATATTACATCCTGAGCAGCATTTGAGATGTCCTCTCGTCTTGAAAGCCAATGTTTCAAATGCAAGGATTATTTAATAAACCTGGTTTATAAAAGTCACAAATTTGACCCGTGCCCTCCCACTCTATGTTATCATCCTCAAACAAGTTTGGGTTGAAACTCATTCTGGTTAGTTCACATTTTTTCATTCACAAGAGATGAATCTCCCAGTGTCTGGCCTGCAATCTCCCAGAAAAAATTGATCATTCACTTCATGACTACTCGTGGGACATTGCTGTGCACAAATTGACTGCTGCGTTCATCCTCGAGGCACACAAATACAGTTGCTTCACTTTACACTAAAATCCTGTGAAGCCTTTTGAGACATCTCGACGACTAGTTAAGGCGCTTAATCAAATATAACATTATTGCTCTATTATTATGCGAAGGTCAATTGTACAACTCCCCGTCTCCCTTCAATAGACATTGTCAGCACACAGTTCATTTTAGTCACGTATTCCTACAATGGATAGACGGAAAAAGCACTCTAATATTTCACAATGTCTGTGATGTGGAGTCCTGTGTGGAGTTTCACCCACAAAATACAGTCATTCACTTCACGGTATATTCTGTGAAGTGCTTTAGACGTCTAGCAGATGTGAAAAGCGCTGTATCAAATGCAAGGATTATTTATTATATCTCCTGATATACCCACATTCACTGATCCCATAAATCCAATTTACAATCAAATCAACGCCCAGAATCGGTGCAGAATTTCAGAGTACGACTGGAAGACTGTGATTACCAACCTCAATGAAATGCTTCTGTCTGTGTGTGTGCTTTGTGATAAGTTCTGGATACAGGACAGAGTTTTGAATTTGCACCCAAATACTGCCATCACATGGGACAGGCAGTGTTTTCCCATTACCAGCTGCAGAGAAGGATGAGAGTTGAATCAGAGCAAAAATGTCACAAAGCTCCCTACTTTTGTATTACATGAGTACTGAGTTTATCCTCTGAGCTAATTTCCGCTGATTCAGTTGGTGATGAAATTGACCCAATTGGTGCAACTTTCTGATTATAATAATTTAAATGAAATGCTTCTGTCTGCGTTTAATAATCCTTGCATTGATATAGCGTCTTATCACTTCGCCTTCGAGACGTCTGAAAGCGCTTCACGGGACACACTGTAAAATGAATTCACTGGATATTTTGTGGGCGAAACGCGGCCGCCAATTGCGCACAGCAGCGTCCACAAACAGTCGTGGATTGACTACCAAAATATTATTTTTTCGGAAAAAAATATGATCATACAATGTAAGTTATTGTTGTTATTACAGCCCAGAAATAAGCCACTTGGCTATTCAAGTCTGTGCTGGTGTTTTCCCTCACCAGTTCTGAACCTAAGCCTACGTGGCTTTAAATAAATGCTTTTTGTTGAGTTTTTAACAAGTCTCAGTTACTAAGACTGAGCAACGAGATGGTGTAAAAACTAGTGTGAGATGTGGTGAGGGATGGCAGATACCAATAACAACAACAAAATTACATTTGTAAAGCGCCTTTCATGTCGGGAGGATGCTCCAAGGCGCTGAACCAGTCAGGACCCGAGCATGGGGTGGGGTAGGGTTGGGCTGAGGGAGGGTAGAGGGGAAGGAGGGCGGCTGAAGGCACAGTTGAAAAGGATGGTGTTGAGTCGTGCCTTAAAGGAGACAAGGGAGGGAGCAAGGTGAAGGGATTGGGATGGAGTTCCAAAGGGTGGGGGCAGGGAGGCTGAAAGCCCGGTTGCCGATGGTAGGGGGTGGGGGTAGGGCGGGAGACATTGAGCAGGCCAGAGCCTGCTGAGCAGAGGGAGCGGACAGGTTGATAGGGGAATCAGCAGCTCAGAGATGTAGGAGGGGGCAAGGCCATGGAGGACCTTGAAGGTGAGGACGAGGATTTTGAATTCTATTCTCTGAGGGATGGGGAGCCAGTGGAGCCGGGCGAGGGTGGGGGTGATGGGGTCACGGAGACTGGGCAGGAGAGGACATGAGTTCTCTCTCAGGCTGTTTAATGCAATGAAGGTGGGAGCAGCTTCCCTGGTGTGCCTCACCATCTCTCCAGTTGCCCGTGTGAGAGCGTTCCATAGTAGCTCACAAAGCCCACGTCTTCTCTGTAGGAACTCCCCACGTCTCGTTTCCTTCTCCCTCTGTTTGCTCTTTCAGGAAGGATTGGGGCCTTGAGATGTTTCTGCCAGGTTCTTTGTTACCAAGCATGAAGGAGAAGCATGCCCGCAAAGTCCTCTCGCGACACCTCAAAGCAACACAAGCCCCTGGACAGTCCGGCAAGAAGGTAAAACTCCTATACAGGGGAAGCCTTGATACACCTTTGGTGCTGTGCTTATAGTCCTCTTTGGACTCACATGTCATTAACACATCTCAAAGTGCTTCAGAGGATACCCTGGAAAGTGGATTGATTGTATATTTTGTGTATTATTATGTTATTATATTCTAATGTTAGATTATATTCTAACATAATGATGTTATAATTATTAAGTAATTTTATAAATATAAAATTATGAAATAATTATTATAAAATAATTATGTTAGAATATAACAGTTATTTCACAGTGTTTGCTGCTGAGATATATCCATACATCCACGCTAGCTTTCCAACCTTCAGTTGCGACCCACAATCTCCTCGGATCAGAGGTCTTGCTGTTCGAGGGACTTTATTAATAAAGCGGCCCTTTGTTTTTTTGGCACCTTGAACTTATTGATCTGGTTACCCGTGATTTTCCCCATTAAAATGCACAGTCATTTCCAGCTGACTATTTCATCATCAACCTCGCTGTTGCCAGGAATGGTATGATTAATCTGCCTGTTGTGTTTAATATGCCGGCATCACTCTTCTGTTCTCGTTCACTGGCTCAGCTCCGACTTCATTTCAGAAATAACATTAACATCATTCATTCTTTCAAATGGCCTTTAATGTTTTATCCTCGGGTACGTCATAATTCTTGCTTGCAAAGGGAGAAAAGTGAAGCAATACTGCGGGGAGAGTGAAATGAATTGATTTATAAATATCAGTCGCGTCCAACAGAAAAGTGCAATGGAAAAATGATTTGGGGATTAATGTTGGGCTGAACTTATTGGAATAATGTGGCTTTTCTTTAACCCTTTTCATCCTGAACATGTCACCTCATGCCTCAAGTTTTCCACTCCTCACCAGTCTCCCCAGCTCCAAGGCTTCAAATGTTTCAAACTCTGTCACCCAAACCTCTCAAAGAGCAATACAGCAAGAATTTTGCCTACAAAATATACAATCAATTCACTTTACATTATATTCTGTGAAGCGGTTTGAGACTTCTCAACAACGTGATAAGGCACTAATAATAATCATCATCATTATTATAATAATAATTACAATAATATGTCAGTTGCAAGGATTATGATTATTATTATTTGAGGTTGCCCAGTAAAATCTGAAGTTATTTGAAATGTCAGTTACTTTATGACTGTTCTTTTTTTGGGATGCTTTTCTTATTACTCTGTTGGGAGAGATACAATGGGTTCACAGCTGTGATTGAGATAGGTTTGAGACTGACAGATGAGGAAGAAGGAAGAGCATCAGCTGAGTACAATCCTATTCTCACCCTGACAGCAGTGTCCCACAAACAGTCGTGGATTGTGTGAACAAATCAATAGCTTAATGAATAGCAAGCTGGACCAGGAACCTTCGTTTATCGCCCCCCCCCACCCACCTCCCCCCACTACCCACCCGTTTCCCTGCACTCAAGTGACTTGTGTTCAGTGTATAATCACTTGCAGAATGACTAAACTGCGCTCAGTCCAAATTGATTTAGCGATCGGGCTTTGTGAGTTGGCAGGGTCTGACTGACTTTTCTGGTGGTGTGGAGTTTAAGTGGTGGATTTGCTGACAGTCGGGGTAACATGTTGTGTTCACTGTGCAGGTCTCCACAGTGCAAGCCAAGCTGCAGTACCTGAGGATCCTGAACGAGCTCCCACTCTACCCAGGAGGACTCTTCAACTCCGTTGTCCTGGTAATGTGACCAGCAGATCATCTGTTAACTCTCAACAGCACAGCACTAACTCACAGCAGTGGGCTATGTCCTGGAAGACTGGACTCGAGACTTCCAGGAATTCCACAATGCCCTTTTCCACAGTGAAGTCTAAGCCGAGCCTATGGCTTTGAACTCCTGGTTCCCCTGATGGTTCGTGGGATGTTTCCGTTCTCCCACAAAATACACAGTCACTCCACTTGTGGAGTCCTGCAGTCCAATGGTTAGCACACTCACCTTGGGAGCGAGAGGACCCGGGTTTGATTCCCAGGCAGGGTGAAACCTTAGGCAAGTTTCTTTACTCCACATGCGTAAATAGGAACCCGGTTGTTAGTCGAGTGGCGGTTTGCTTTCTGGGGGGAATAATCCCATCAAATTAAAAANTTAAAAATTGGTCACTCAATGTGGGACATTGCTGTGCACAATTGGCTGCCACAATTCTGTGAAGTGCTTTGAGATGTCTCAATGACGTGATAAGGTGCTATATCAAATGCAAGGATTATTATTATTATTATTGGGAGAATCTCTTTGATGTCCACCTGACCAGGAAGACAGGACCTTGGTTTAACATTTCATCCAAGGATTGTTTGCCTTTCCGACAATGCTAAAATATCCCACGTCTGGTTCAATAGGTCACTGCTTACGTTACTTCCTATTTTTGTTTTTGTGGACACCGTCTAATGACCTGGATGTCAGCCATTTTTGTGTGAAAGGCCAGCCAGCACACAATAAACAACTAGGAAATGTGGTCCACTACCACGTTCTAAGCAAATCTGGGCTCTGGTGATAATGGTGATGATGGTAAACAGTGCACTTGAATCCCCACAAAACAGCTCTGCACCACTCAGCAATCCTCTCTCATTGTGCATTAGGGTTGCACCACAACTACTTGGTTCAGCAAAGGAGTTAATACAAGGAAACGGGTCGACTTGGCAGCTAAAATGAACAGCTCAATTCGAGAGCCATCCATGCTCTTTTAATTGAAACGAGACGTATTTATTTGTGCTCCTGTTAATTGAAGATCACTGAAGCTTGTCAGCGCAGTTAATTAGATGTAATTTACCCAGTCATGTTTACTAATTAGCTGGTGCCACTCAGGTGGTAACTAGACATTGGGATTTCTTGCTGATGCCTTGTATCTGTCAAAAAAGAATGAGTCTAAATAGATGGTGCAAGCGAGGAAAAAACAATAGGAATTTACTAAGCTCCTGGGAAATGTGTTTTAGAGCATTTTTCTTGCCGGGTTCTATGCAGGAATGCAAAGGGGTCAAGAAGAGTTTTTACCCAGAGAGTTGTTATGGTCTAGAATGCACTGCCTGAAAGGGTGGTGGAATTAGATTCAATAGTAGCTTTCAAAAGGGAATTGGATAGATCCTTTAAAAGGAAAAACTTGCAAGGCTGTGAAGTAAGAGCGGGTGAGTGGGATTAGTTGGATGCTCTTTCAAAGAGCTTCTGTGCTGTAGGATTCTAAGGAGTTAAGAATACATCTCACACACATGGTGAGAGGATGATTGTAGTGTGAAGGGCTTCAGGGTCAGATTCCACTGTGATGTGATGTGAATTAGTGAAGGGTAAGTGGACAAAAATGGAAAGTTCTGGTGTCCTGGGATCTTTAACAGCTGCCAGAAACAGCAGACGTGAACAGCAAAAGTTGTGGATTCAAGCTCGATGTCTGGCCTTTGAGCTCACAGTTTAGGCTTCAGTGCAATCCTGCATTGTCCAGAGGTGCCGTCCTTCAGATGAGATGTTAAACCAGAATCCACTGTCTGTTCAGGTGGACGTTAAAGATCCTGAGATATTGTTTCTCCCGGTATCCTGGCCAACAATCTTTGAGATTGGTTCTTCATTCACTCCATGGCTGGTTGTGCAACATTGCTGTACACAAATGCCTGCTGCGTACCCCTACAAACACAGTCACTACATTGGCAGTAATTACTTATGAAGCGCTCTGATATGTTTTGACGTTATAAAAATACAGTGTTGTCCACTTGCTTTGTATTGAATAGCGTATCATTCTGTAGGGAAGATAATTCCACTCAGAAAACAACAAAAAACGGCATTGCATTATTGCTGGTAACTGTCTACAATTACCACACCTTTAACTGCTCAAACACTCTATAGGGACAAGCATTCAGATCTTTCTGTTTATCTTCAGTGCTATCATTCTGTTGCACATGTAGACATAGTAAAAAGCAGACTCAGATTGCTATTAGCACTGGGTGACGGGCAATGTAAATTAAGTCTCCTTTAGTGTCTAAAGCCCTGAAATGTGTTCGCCATGACTCTTGTGCTAATTTTCTCAGGTAACGGAGCAAACGTCAACAAGAAAAATGAGGAAATAATGGACGCTTTAAGTGCTTTAAGAACGTAAATTATGCAGAGGTTTTACTGAAGTTATGCGCTGAAAGTGATATTGAACAGGATGTGACCTTATAGGTGGCAAAGCAACTTTTAGTGAACGGTTACTGTCCAGAAAGGAGTGTAACTCAGTGGTGGAACATTGCTTTTAAAATAGAATTAGACAAACATCTGAAAAATAAAAAAATATAAAAGGCAGGGGAGTGGGATTAAACAAATTGCTTTTTACAAAGGCTGTCACAGACATAATGGAGTGAATGGATGCTTTCCGTGCCATGCTTTTATGATAAAATGTCATTGTGAAAAATTGGCAGCATGTTGTATCCATCTAGAAACCAATTTGCCAACAAAATCACTACACTTTACAGTAAATCCTGCGAAGTACTTTGAGAAAGCCAGCTAATTTGAAAGGGGCTGTATCAAACGGAAGGATTTTTTAAGGTTATTAAGATTAGTATCATTGTGAAGCAAAATTCACCAGATTAACCACTGATAAGGATAAGGAACATGATCTGTTGTGACACAGGTTAGTTTTACCCTATTGATAATGTGTTGTTACAATAGTAATCCTGTACATCCAATTTATAGCTAGCGAGACTGGTTTTTTACTTTTTTTTTGGTCAGCCGGGTGTCTGACACATGTAGAAACCCATCACCGTGCTTAAGTGTATCCAAACCAAACTGAGTTCCATGCATCCCACCTACACATGGAGATCCCAGAGAAGGTTGTTGGACAGTTATTTCTGTTGCAGTTATTTCTTGTTTTATCACATGGAAATTAGTGCAGGTGATAAATTAAACCATCCACTGGAACCGAAAGGTTAAACATGGGAACTTTACCTCAGTTATCGAGTATTGCTTATTATAGGTGATGTTAAATGTTGGAATATAGAGTATTCTGTTAGAATGGGATCAAATGAGGTGATGGAGCTGGAATATAGAGTATAGAGCACTTAAGACATGCCACATTTCAAGAGGTTATGGAGGTTTGTTATATTACCAATAGTTATTAGCGATTAAGTAAACTGGGCATGTGCACGCTGGAAAAGAGAGCGTTGAGAGGCAATATGTTAGCGTTTTTTAAGATTCTAAAGGGACTGGATAATGTAGACTATGATAAACTGTTTCATCTCACCCAGAACCAGACGGAAAGGCCTGCAGTTGAAGGGGGTAAATTCAAAACAAATCTGCAAAAACACTTTCAGTGACCGAGTAGTAAACGTGAACAGGCTCCGTAGGGAGACGGTCGAAGTGGCAAGTGTTGATTCTTTCAAAAGCAAATTAGATAGATTGATTTTACGAAATATTATCTTGGGATACAGTATATGTAACATGTGGCATGCAACTTCCAAGATGATGGAAGGCGAACAGGATGGAGCTTGGTCTGCTTTCATCTAGCAATTCTTAAGTTCTATTAATTCTAAGCCATCGTCTGATGTGAAATTGAGATACACAAGCTTAGAAACTCACAAGTTCAATCCCTGAGCTGAGCTTGGTTAGTTCATCTTAGCTGGGAGGGAGGGAAAGGTGGCACAACAGTTAGGCTCTCTGCCTGGAATGGAAAAAATATCACTCGCTAGAATGGAAAAGATATTCCTTTTCAAGCGCCTGAGTTCATGGTTGTTGCGAGTGAGAACTTCTCCGATGAGCTGGGCTGAACGTTCACTGTGACTGATGTATAACACGAACACAAGATTTGTTCAGATGAAGAAAGCTCCGTCACCTCATTTGATCCCATTCTAACAGAATCCGATGGGCCAAATGGCCTTCTTCTATGCTGTAAATTTCTATTGTTCTAATCTGCACCCTACCATCCTCCCATTTAGCATCAAGCTGGTTTTTAGCAATCCTTAAATCCTGGTGTAAAACCACCTTTCCTGATGTTATCCACTTACTCTGAAGAATTGCATTCTCCACACCACTCAGTCAAGCTGGATGATCCTATCACCATCCATTCTCCCAAAAGGCCACTTTAAGCAATTAACATTGAGAGTTTTTCAACAATGATGATCAGTCATGTTATGTAAAAATATAACTATAACCACTTTACCTTTTAACAGCATGCTTGTTGAAATGAAAGGTCACTTTACTGTTTAAAAACCCCAGGTGTTTTGCATGCAATAGATTACAGCTTAGAATTCATCATTGGTTGACTTACTTTGGTCTACAAGTTTTCACCTTAATAATTGTGTAATGGATGTGTTGTTAATTGTACAGCAGAGCACTAGAGCTGTAATGAATCATCCGCAAACAATAGAAAGATTTTCGCAACAATGCCAGAAGAAATAACTTGTATTTTTACCGCTAATTATCCAGGTAAAACATCTCTAAATGCTTCACAGTAATTCCTCTTCGTAATAATAATCCTTGCATTTGATATAGTGCCTTTTCACTTCTTCGAGATGTCTCAACTGCTTCACAGAATTTATTCTAAAGTGAATTGACTATTTTGTGAGTGAAAGCGTAGTGACTGTTTTGTGCATGGCAGCCATTTAGCTCACTGCAAGACTGCAGAAACAACCCTCGGAGAAACTGTCTCCTGTTTTGAAATCATATCATGGGATTTTTTATAATAATCCTTGCACTTCATACAAGTGCTTTATCACGTCATCATTCAGACATCTCAAAATGCTTTACAGGATTTTCCTGTGAAGTGTAGTGACTGTACTTGTAGGTGAACGTGATAGCCAGTTTTGATCGTAGCAGTGACTCAGAAACAGCCGTGGGTGAATTTTATCTGGGGTGGTTGGTGGCCAGGACACTGGAAGGACACTGCCTTCCCTTTTTAAATAATGCCATGGGATCTTAAACATTCAGCTGAACAGGTTCATTGTCTCATCCAAAAGAATGTACCTCTGATAATGCAGCACTTCCCTAGCACTGCACTGAAATAGCAACCTATAACAACATATTTTATGGATTAATATAGCGCCCTCCACCCCGGACGGCGTCTCAGAGCGCTTTACAGTAACGGATCCCAGGACCGACCAGGGGGAGGTGGAAGAAGGTGACGAAAGGTGCGGTCGAAAAGAAAGGTCTTCAGCAGAGACCTGAAAATGGGAAGGGAGCGAGACCGAGACTGTGCGCTTAGAGTCCCAACATGGGGATTTTTGTACAAGCTTTGAGAAGGGTAGAGCTACTGAAAGCCTGATCTGGTTATATTTTTGTTTATTTGGACCCAGGATTCGAAGCAGTCGGAAATGACACTCCTAGTTGGGCCGCAACACGGCATCAGCCACGTCATAGACTTGAAGACCAATCTGACCACAATCCTGGCAGAGTTTGGAAGGGTCAACAGAATCCAGCTGTTCCGAGAGAAGGAGAACATCGCCCGGGTGGAGCTCAGTATTTCAGAAGCCAAGGTATGAGATCCTCATTTAAGCCTTTCAAAGTTTAATTCACTGGCAAAAGGCCATTTCCTGTACCATTTTTACACAAATTGCTACATAGCAATTATTTTACTGTGGTTTTAAAATTAAATAATAGAATCCCCAGCATTCTAAGTTATAAGTCTGCTATAATTGAGTATACACCCCCAATAGCTGCTTTCACCTGACATATAATAATAATCCTTGCATTTGATATAGTGCCTTATCACACCTTCGAGATGTCTCAAAGCACTTAACAGAATATATTGTAAAGTGAATTGACTATATATTTTGTGGGCAAAAACCGGCAGCCAATTGTGCACAGTAGTGTTCTACAATAGTCATGGATTGAATGACCAACATTTTTTTTCACATTCAAAATTGAAATCCAGCTTCAAAGTTAAGACTGAATTTAGGAATTTTTCACAATTTTGCGCAAATTAAAATTTTAACCCAAAGTAAAATAATAACAATTATAATAACAATCCCACAGGTTTATGATCTAATTTTGCAGTTGTTGGTGGTGGTGGAAACATAAGCTTATTGCTTATATTCAAAAAATGAAATAGGAAAATCAGAAGAAACTACCCAGAGAATGGTGGACCTTGCTATTCGCTTCAGCTACTCCACAAGAACGAGTTGAGGCGAATAGCACAGACGCATTGAAGGGGAAACTAAATAAGTACATAAGGGAGAAAGGAATAGAAGATTATGCTGATAGGTTTACATGAGGAAGGACAGGGGGAGGCTCATGAGGAGCACAAACTGGGGCATAGACTGCATAGACTGTTTCTGTACTGTATATTCTATGAAATTCTAGGTACTTGAGTCCGATAACGGCTCAGTCTAGAATGAAGTACAGCTAAATTCTATCAGTTTGTGTTCGACCACAAATATACAGTCAATTCGCTTTACAGTCTATTCTGTGAAGTGCTTTAAGACGTCTAGAAGATGTGAAAAGCGCTATATCAAATGCAAGGATTGTTATTATTATTATTCCGCGGCAGCCAATTGCGCAGAGCAGTGTCCCACAAACAGTCGTGGATTGAGTGATCAAATTATTTTTTAAGGGTTTATTACGTGTTGAAAAGCGATCGGCCAATACACTTAATTAACCACAAGCTGCTTACCATCCTGGCTAATAATAGATGTCAGCCTGGCGTTGTGGAAAGATCATCACATTGGTAAATTGGAATGAGATGTATTTGTAACTCAAATGCGTATTGAAAAATTCCAGGCCAGAGGCAAAATAGAAACATTTGCGGTTCTGCCTTATTTAGAACAAATATTTTTCTTACGAATGTTTCTCCTGTAATGATCCAGTAATGGCATTTCTGGGCACTGCTATTTATCTCTCCCTGCTCCATCCAGTCTGCAGCTTGATCACAGGCTGCTTTGAGTGATTTGCCGTCATAGGCTTTCAGGGCACATCAGGAAAGGTTAATGGGTTGGAGAGCGAGTGGGAGGGGGTGGGGAGGGAGCAGAATTGTGCATTTTGTTAACTGAGTGCAGGCTCTTGACATAATATTGAGCCGGCAACAACAACAACCATCACCATTGGTAAGAAATAGCTAACTTCAGATGCATCAAGTCACTCCAGGTTGGTGAAAACGTCATTGCATTTGACTGGGTGTGGAACAACTCAACAATTTATATATCGACCTTCACGCAGGGCAGCGTCTCGGAGCTCTTAACATTACAGAGTCTGACACCGAGCCAGGGGGAGGAAGGTTACCATAAGCACGGTCGAAGAGGAGGGTCTTCAGTCATGATCTAAAAGAGGGGAAGGAGGGGGCAAGGCAGAGGGATTGGGGGAGTGGGTTCCAAAGCTTCGGGGCAGAGTGGCTGAAAGCGTGGCCGGTGACTGTGGAACGGAGTTTAGTGTGGGTGAGAATGCAGAAGATTATGAGAGTGGGTTGCTTTTGACAGCCCTTTGTTAAAGTTCAGACACTTACCTGCTCTTGCAAATGCAATGTGATGCTTCTCCGGGGAATGCATAAGTGCAGAATGGAAAGGCACTTATATATATGACTTTCTCCCTTGCGTCATTCAGCCCTACTCTGGTGGTGCCTGCACTCTGTGGAAAATTATGTAAAAGATGACAGAATACTCGATCATTGAAAGAGCTATAACATTTTGATCTTGTAACTCTTGGATCCTCGCCAATAAGAGAATTTATATTCGTGGCTACCAATGAGTAATTTTCTGTGCATTAGCTTAAAGATAACATAAATACTACAGGAAAGAAAAGAGTAATAGGAAGTTATCAGAAAAGGTGTAACAAGTCAAAAAGTGTGAGAAGGACATCATCAGGCATATAGGCACGTTGGGGAGTTACCCAAATAAGAGTTATGTGGACAAATGCACGTAGCATAAAAAATAAAGCAAGTGAGATAGAAGCACAAATTCAGCTTAAAGGGTATGATGTGGTAGCCATTACAGAGACCTGGTTACAAGCTGGGCAGGACTAGGAGCAAAATATTCCAAGCTATAAGATATTTAGAAAGGGCAGGGAGATTGGGAAAGGAGGAGTGGTAATATTGATAAAAGACACTATTATAGCAATGGAAAGGAAAGATTTCAGTCAGGGCGATCATAGTAGTAACACGGTGGGTAGAATTAAGGAACAGCAAAGGAGTAGTTGGGAGTAGTCGTACAGACCTCCAGAGAGTTGTGATGAAAATCTATAAATACGGAGATCAGGGAAGCATGTAGCAAAAGCAATGCCGTTATAATGGGAGATTTTAATTCTCACACAGACTGGGAGAACAGGGCACCTCAGGTAGTAAAGGCAACGGATTTCTAGAATGTATTCAGGACAGATGTTTAGAACAATATGTTTGACAACCAACAAGGGAACGAGCCATACTGGATTTGGTGATGAGTAATGAGCCAGAACTATCTGACAATCTGACAGTAAGGGAACACCTTGCAAATAGTGATCATAATATGATTGAATTTGACATTAGACTTGAGAGGCAGAAGGCAGAGTCCCAAACCAAGGTGCTAAATTTATGGGCTTGAGAAATATATTGACCACAGTAAACTGGGCTGAAGTATTAGTGGGTAAACCTGCAGATGAACAATGGAAAGTTTCAAAAAAAAGTATTATTTGATACAACACAGAACAAGTATATATATACCCCTAAAATGCAAAAGCTCTAATCGTGTAGTTAAGCTACCATGGTGGACAAAAGAGGTTAGAGACCGTATCAAGCTAAAATAAAGGCTTACTAAAAAGCAAGAAAAAGTGGGAATGCAGAGGACTGGGAGGCTACAAAAGGCAACACAGGGATACAAAGAAAGTAATAAGAGGAGCAAAAAGGGAGCATGAAAAAAAACTTGCAAGGGGTATTAGAGTGTCTAAGGATGCTGTTTGTATGGACTTTCAGAAGGCATTTGATAAGATTCTACGCAAAAGATTATTAGCGAAATGGAAGAACATAGAACCTTGTGACGTGGTTGGTAATTGGTTGGGCGGCAGGAAACAGAGAAGGGAGAGTAGGCAGGAAACAGAAAAGGGAACATTCTCTGATTGGCGGGACGTGATAAGTGGTGTGCTCCAAGGGTCTGTACTGGCACCTCAGCTATTCGCCATACATACAGATGACTTGGATGAAGGAATAGAAAGTTATGCATCCAAGTTTGCAGACAACACTAAGCTAGGAGGCTCAGTAAATTGAGTAGATGGGAGTAGGAAGTTACAAAGTGAATTTACAGATTAAGTGAGTGGGCAAAGCTGTGGCAGATGGAGTTCAATGTAAGGAAGTGCGAGGTCATCTACTATGGACCGAAAAAAGATAAAGCAGAGGAATGTTTTAAAGCATGTTTTCTTAATGGGGAGAAATTAAGAACCGTGGAGGAGCAAAGAGATTTGGGTGTCCATATCCACAAATCACTAAAAACTAGTTCCCAGGTGCAAAAAGTAATCAAAAAGTCAAATGGTATGTTTATCGCAAGGGACTTAGAATACAAAGGGGAAGATATGATGCTTCAGTTGTATAGAGCATTAATCAGACCCCATCTGGAGACTGTGTTCAGTTTTGAGCATCACACACAGTAAAGATATATTGGCCTGGAGGTGGTGCATCGCAAGTTCACCGGAATGTTATGAGGCCTAAAAGGGTTAACTTACAAGGAAAGGCTGCGTAAACTTGGATTGTATAACCTTGAGTTTAGAAGTTTGAGGGCCGGTTTGATTGAGGTATTTAAGATGATAAAGGGATTTGATAGGTTAGATGCAGAGAAACAGTTTCCTCTGGTGGGGGAATCCAAAATGAAGAGCATAGTCTTAAAATTAGAACCAGGCCATTTAAGAGTGAAATCAGGAAGTATTTTTTCACTCAAACAGTGGTAGAAGTCTAGAATTCTCTCCCCCAAAAAGCTGTGGATGCCTCATCCATCCATACCTTCAAGAATGAAGTTGATAGATTGTTGGTAGGTCAGGGTATTAAGGGATATGGGGAGAAAGTGGGAAATTGGAATTGAAAGGATTAGATGAGGGACAGATCAGCCATGATCTAATTGAATGGTGCAACAAGCTCAAAGGGCTGAATGGCCTACTCCTGTTCCTATGTTCCAGAGGTGCTGACACTAACTCCTTGTAGCCTGGCTGAGGTTAGATAACAGATCGGGATCGAACCTGTCACCTTTTGATCCATGCAACTCAAGTGTTGTCAGGCAAGACAGAGGCACTATACTGACAGAGGCAGTTCATGTCACGAACAACTTGTACTTTTTAACACCTTTCACATAGGAAAACATCCATCTCAAGGCCCATCTCTTCGACCGAGCCTTCAGTCACCCTCCTACCCCCATCCTCCTTGCTCTCCACCCCTCCTGATCCCAATCCCCAGCCCAGGTACAAATCCTTGACTATCCAGTGCCTTGGGATGTCCTCCCAATGAGAATGGTGCTATACAAATGCCATTTGTTGTTGAAGCACTTTATAGAGTCCACAGACGAAAGAACAATGTGAGGGTGTTGATCAAAGGCAGGGTGAAAGATATTATTAAAGGGTTTTCAACACAGGGAGGTAAAGGGATTTTTTGGAGTTTCATCATGAGGGAACAAAGGGTTGTAGAGTCAACCCAAATTGTTAGGGGGAGTGCAGAACAAGTCATGGAGCAGTCATAAGATTGGAGGCACAGGCAGAGAATGGGACTGGAAGAGACAGTATAGGCATTGAGGGAGAGATGGTAACATATTGCAAAGCATAACACAAAACACGGTTGCAATCGAAAACCAGCCCTGATATTTGAATCAAAAACCGAAGTCGCTGGGAACACTCAGCAGGTCAGGCAGTATTTATGGAGAAAGGAAAGTGAGTCAACATTTCGGGTCCACCCAGAAGGTCGTGGACCTGAAACGTTGGCTCACTTTCCTCTCTCCGTAGACCCTGCCTGACCTGCTGAGTGTTCTCAATGACTTCTGTTTTTGTTTCAGATTTCCGGCATCTGCAGTATTTTGTGTTGTGTTTATACCTGATATTTGACTTTTGTTTTTTTCTTTGCAGCCTATTGTGTTGCTGATGGAGTCGACGGAAGCCGTGAACTTTGCTTGTTTGATAGCAGGTTACTACCAGTTATTTGTTGATATGAAAAAGATGATATTCTGTGGGGCCAACGTTCAGTCTCAAGTGAATAAGGCAGGTATGGTTGGTACATTAACAATTTCAGTGCTGAAGTTCTTTTACAGGTTGCACCCATGTTTAGAAATGCTGGGGCGGGCCAAGTCTATGTGGCACCTGTCATTGTGTCATACTGGTTTATAATGTGTTATAATGGGAACTGCATCTTACAATACAAAGCACTGGTATGGTTTCACGGTACTTATCCACCTGTTTGAGGTGTGGCTCGTCAAGTTGAGAAGAAATCAACAATGCCTTGGTCTTACGCAGACCTACCTGATTATAACAGGAATGTCTCTTCCGAGGCAGGTCAGCTCCTGGGAATCATGAGAGATTCTATCATACATTTCCCCAGGAGTTCAAATAGTTTAATTAATAAAACATTATTTGTTCTCTGTAGACAAGATGGACTGACTAGCCTATCCGATTCTTATACCATGTTCTGTTATGTTTTGTCTCAAGGATTCTCAGTTCAAGTATAAGCAGGGTCAGGTCCAGGGTAACATCCTCTGTGTTCAGTATTCCTTCCTTCCCTTTGCACATATTCATTCCATCTTCAAAACAAAAAAGGTGAAATTGTATTTAAACATAAGGGGGTGAAAATCTCTGGTGTTAAGCAACCCATAGTTGAAAAATACGGCCAGTTGACGTCGGAATCTCTTTTCTGTATGGACACGAGCTTCGGTCTTTAAAAAGCAAAAGTCTTTAAAGAAGGAGAATGGTTTCCCTCCCACTGTGTGCAGTTAACGTTGATGTCATCAAACATCTCATGAGAAACAATAGTAATAGGTTACAAAGAGCTTACATAACATCAATACTTGTATATCTGGTCAAAGGCTTCTAGCAAATGTTCTGCGGGAAGAAGGAAAGAGTGGAAGAAACGCATGATGTAGTGGATGCCAGAAACACAAAGAATTGAGACCAATAGGATAAAGGCATTGGTGGATGCCCACAATAAAAACACAGGATAAAAGGGCAGTGAAAAACTAGATTAACATGTGAAGTCTGTGATATATTGTCTTTGTGAATAAGTTGTGGGGGTGGGGGGGACTTTTGAATAAAGTGTATTCCCACTAGACTTGCAGTCTCCTTCAAATTACATTTACAAGTGATCGTGGATTTTACCTAGAAAAATTGTTTCATGACGGTCTCCAGTATAATCCTCTTAACCTCATTGCCGGTTAACATCATTCTGTATTTAGATTTGAGGCTTTCTCTCGAGGGAGCCTGTTCCACTTTCTCCTGCTTGTATCCTGTGAATCCTGCTTTGTAATGGATTCATAATAGCAATAGAGCCTGATGCATTTGGCTATATTTATATTCTATCCATGTGCATTTCATCTTCTACATTCTGTCAAATGATGAAGAGAAGTATTTGAATTTTATGCTAAACAATTCTAGGCTTATGAGGATACATAGCACTGATATATAACATTAATAGACTAATCATGTAACCAATTGGTCCAGAATAAAATAATAATTCTTGGATTTGATGTAACGCCTTTTCCTGTTGAAATGTCTTGAAGCACTTCACAGTTTTCTGTAAAGTGTAGTAACTGTGTATTTGTAGGTGAACACGGTAGACAAGTTGTACACAGCGATGTCCAACAAAAATTGGTGTGCGCAAATGATGAATGACTAATTTTATCTGGGGGATTATTGGCCGAGAGAACCTCTCTTCTCCTTTCCAATATTGCCCATGGGATCTTGGCATTGTGAACAAGCAGACAAGACCTTGGTTTACCATCCCATCTGGCAATCCAGGACTTCCTACCACTGCACTGGAGTATCAGCCTATGAGCTCAAAGTCCCAACCTGGGGCTTACCTGTGGTGTGACTTTAAATGTACTTTCTTCCATCCCCTACTGGTGAGTATTATATAAAGGGAGATAATTGGGACATTGGACTAGGCAGTCTAAAAAACAATACTAATGTTTAAAACGGGCATAATAATAATCATACTTGCATTTGATGCAGTGCCTTATCACATTGTTGAGACATCTCAAAGCGCTTCACAGAATATATTTAAAATAGGTTGACTGTATATTTTGTGGGCAATAGTAGATAATCATCTGTTGCATAACAAATATTGGGCACATAGTATTTAAGAGGAAGTTAATTGTACACATGAGGGAGAAGGGAATAGAAGGATATGAGAGGGAGTAAAGAGGGGGAGTGTAAATACTGGCACGGAATGGTTGGGTCAAATGGCCTGTTTCCGTGTGGTATAGTCTATATAAATCTATGCAAAGTTGGCAAAAATGTTTTGAATATGAGCAACAAGACACACTGGAGTATGTCATTGTGTGAGACATTTATAAACAAACACGTACTTCCAAAATAAAAATAAAAAGTTTTCAGATTTTCAAGTGGCAAAGAGTGTAACAGGAAGGTTGGGGAATCAGTTGTAGTCTGTGTATTGACAGTGATTTTGTTTCTTTTCCTCAACAGACTACAGAAACATTCAGAGCATTCTGCAACCAGAATGGGCCATTGCTTCATCAGCTCCCGGGATGAAGAGCGAGGGAATGGGTGCAGGCTTTCCTCACAGCGTCCCTCGCCACAGTGACTACAGGAACACATGCAATATGAGCCCCAATTCCCCGGATTCCAACCTGGTAAGGTTCCATTTCTTACAGATGCAAGAAAGAAGAAAGGAGTTTGAAAATCAGATAGATATTAACGAGAACCTCATCTTCTTTGAGGAGACAAGACCACGGACCAAGTCCGACCCAACGATGAGCTCTTCAGCAGCGGGGCGGTGCACCTCTGACGGAAGGATTCCTCCCGGTCCACAAGGCTTCCTGAGGAGGGGGAGGGCTAACACACTGGACAGCCAGATGAAAATGGCCATTGACACCATGGACTACCATGACCATATCCATCAGAAAATCCCAATGCACCAAGCAAGAGTGAGTGGTACTCAGATCTTGCCTCTACTTATCAAGCAGCACAACGACCTTCTCTGCGATGCGTGCAAGGTCAAGATGAAGAGCAATGTGATCCCCAAAGGAAGAACTTCGGAGAAGTGTTCCAACTCTTGCTCTTCCCGGGAGAACATTGTTGACCTCACTACTCTGCCATTGCCAGGAAGCGATGAGGAAGATGAAGAGCACGAGCGCCATTCTCTACTTCCTACACTAGCTGCTCCACCGCCAGGGTTCAGAGATAATAGCTCAGATGAAGATGACTCTAAGCGAAGGATGGCTCAGAGCTTAGAGTCCAGCCGGCAACCTTGCGAGATACTCTTTAATGATGTGCCAGTGTCACTAATCAATGGCATTCAAACAAGGACTGTTAGACACCGAGCCCAGGAACTCGATGACGCCCTGGTGTCCACTCTCCAGGCACTGGAAGCGCTGGCAGCAGCTGAAGATTGTCCTCACCGTCAGCCAAAGGAAAGCTCAGGTAACATCACATGTCAAAGCTGCCAAGGCGTAAAAGTGGATTTCAGTGCAAACCATCCAGACACCCCTCTCCCATCATTGTCTGACCCGTCCTGTTAGAACCATAGAAATTTACAGCGCAGAAAATCACTCAGCGCATCGTGTCTGTGTTGGCTTTTTCAAACATTTAGCTACTTTTTGTCCATAATGCTGCACAAATTATATAAATGTAAAGTGCATTGTATCATTATTATGAACCTAGACCCAGATGGAATTGTACCCCACCAGAGTAGCAAGTTATGATTGCATTGAAGATAGTTAAGTGTAAATCACTGTATGATCTAATAACCATACTGTTTTCCTAATCCACAAATTTCCAATTAGTGCAAATATCAGGCTGTGTCTTGTTGTGTGAGACCCAATATTTCACATGATCTTTGCCTTAGGACATTGGTTTAGAATTTAAGATGATGGAAAATTTTGGAAAGTCAATCAGTTTTGGAACACAGTTTCTAGATGAAGGCTGAATTGAAGAATTATCCAAAATTCTGCATAATCTTAATTTTTAAGACAATGGTCTTCCAGCTAAGAACACAAGGCATTGGTATTTGGGTCTGAGATGAGTTAATGAAAGTTAGTTAAGAAGTGATTATCCTTGTCCTATCTGTTCCACCGCAGGCTTGCTGTGCACCTCATGAGTTACTGTTTTCCAATGTGCTCCCCAGGTCTGATTGTACTGGCGGCCATGACACCCGAGTCATCATTGGATTCCGGCCACGAAACAAACTCTTCAGAAATGACGGACATCTCGGAGATGGTCTCGGCGTTCAAGCAGCACCATTTACTTGCTTATCAGGGGAACAAAGCAGGTCTCATTGTCAAGAAAAACTTTCCGTCTAATGCTGCCAGGGCACAAGCTGTATTCAGAGGACCTCTACAGAGACAAGATGAAGTGAACTCTGTGGCTTCCACCAAACTAAGTCCCTTATCTGGTGCCATTAGATTGAAACCTGGGCAGATGGCAGGATATTGTAAGATCCACATGAGGCCTCTGGTGGCCACTCACTCCAACGAGCAGATAAATGTGGCAGATAATATTGTTTTGAGGCCTGTTCTACGGCAGCATTGTCCAAGCTGTACAAAGGCAGCAGAGGAAGTGGTATCTTGTGGAAAGGTTGAACCAAAGGAAGTTTGTACCAAAATCCTGCCTCGCCTCGAGCAGTCGATGATTCACGGTGATGACCAAAGCAGTCTCCAGGTGCCAAGCCACAAAATCTGCACCCAGCAGTCACGAAATGAATGGAACTCTCCAAACTCCAGCAAAAGCTCTGGAAGCTCAAGACCACAGGTTCATCAGGACAATTCAATTGGCTGCGGTTCAAGGGGCAGTACTTCATCTCCAGCCTCTATATACAAAAATGTCTGCAGCGAGTGTGTCACTCTTAAAAAGCAGTACTTGAAGGTTGAAGGAGGCGTTCCAGGAACCCCCAGGCTGTGTGAATGTCACTTGCTGAAGGCCGAGACTGCCCAAAGAGCCATAGACTCTCAGGGGCACAGGACAACTCTCCTCCACACATGTTCACCATTGGACAACGAAGTAGCGTATATCAAAGTGAGCAACAATGTGAATCAGCAACCAATGGGTAAACAAGTCTCAATGTTGTTCGATGGCAATCATATAGATTTGGCAGATGCTCCCGCTGGGCAAAGTGAGTACATCAGAGTAGAAAAGACCAGGAGAGCCGTTTCTCCAAGTGGGGAGAAGATCTGCTTTATCAGTCCTTGTAGATACCCTGTCACCATTTTGGAAGAGGTTATCTCTGGACATCATGGGAACGCCGAAAAGGCAAAATGTCAAGGTCACGTGTGCCCTTGTAAAACCACCGCCAGCTCAGAGATTCCCGCTGGCAGCCCCAGATGTCCAAAGCCATGCAGCGGGAGTGCTGGTGCCCTGCCTCCTATCACATCGTCCCCAGTTTCAGAGAATGTGTTTGACGCTAAACAGCACACGTCTCTCATTTCTGACAAAGCTAAGTCGCAGAAGGTCTCTCTGCTGAATTTCCGAAACCTTTTCTCAGCCACGTTTCCAGCCCGCTTTCGGAAGGAGAGCGACGAGAGGCAGGAGCAGCTTCAGAAAGTCAAGCAATATGAGCTAGAGTTTCTCGAGGAGCTCCTCAAGCCCAAAACCAAAGTTGACGTGTTTGCGGAAGAATACGTGTATCGCAAAACGCCGAGCCACTGCCCTTGTCAAATTAAAAACAGCTCCGTTGGGAACATCCCAGGGTTGTCTCGGGAACAGCGGCGTAGCTGTGACTGTAAACGCCTGGGAATGGCTTGTGATTCGCTGTGTTTCCCCACAACACCTAGTCCTATACAGACACAGAGAGCTAAAGTCCCCTATATTCACCAACAGCCTAAAACCAGTATTCTCCCTTCATCGTCAGATGTTAACAGCAAGCAGAAAGACATTCGGAGACGCACCTCAAGCTTGGAGTCCAGCGACTTGAGAGCTGAGCGAGACCCAGGGGTGTTTTGCACGATGGCACAAGGCGAGTGCCTGAAGGTACCTCACGGGAAGAAGCTGGGGTGGCACCAAAGCTCCACAAATATAGTGTCCGAGGCAGAGACCAGTGATGTCACATCCCAGTGCTCTGAGAGTACCCATTTGACCAGCTCCCAGACAGATGAGCCTAGGAATCTCGAAAAAGGGAGAGAATTCATCAGAAAAGTCCTCAAGAACCAGCAGCAGGAGCCAGGTCTGGCTGAGGATCCGTCCTATGTCCACGTTTCCAATAAGGACAAACTACCACAGTCTCCGGCAATTTTCTCTATTCAGGGGGAGTTCAAGCAACCCAGGACATCGCCGCTTCTAAAGGGAGACATGGCCAGCGACAGCAGGTGTTGCTCCTTTCGCTACTGTTTTTATTACAGAAACTGTGATGTTGCAGACGACGGCAGCGACAAAGATGAACTTTCGTACTCAATCCCAATGCAGCTTCTGCCAGATTTGAGGTGTGACAGCCCCACGACGCCCACCGAAAAGCAGGCGAAACCCCTCCAGCCTCCAGACACGACTGCAGCCTGCATCAGTGGGGACGCTGTACAGCAGGAGGCAGCGGCCAGCGATTCAGCATTGGACAGCAACATGAGCAGAATCAGCGCTCTGCGGGACCGAGTCTATGTTCTCCCCGATGGCTTCGCTGCTGCGCAGCAGGACACAGGCGAGCTGCTGAGCATTTTGAGGCAGTGCGTGGCAAACCGCAGCAGCAGCGATGCTAAGCTTTACACCTCGCACCTGGAGGAGTACAAACAGACGCTCACGATGAAGTTCAAAGAGCTGAGAACTGCGTGTAGGAGGGTGGCAGCAGTGGACAAAAGCCCTACGCACATGCTTACAGCTATCATGGCCAGCTTCCAAGTGCTCTGCGGCCTGATTGAGACCTTTGTGCATCTGGTCTACATCATGCGTTCGGAGAGACAACGCAAAGAGCTCCTGGCCAAAGTCGAAGAAGTGGTGGTCAACTACACCTTTTTGCTCCGAGCGGCAGAGGAGTCCTCAAGTAAGACCCATCCCAGCATTGAACACTTAAAGCATTCAACCTCAGCAACCACTGTAGCGGGCACATTCACTCATTCGTTCAAAACACTAACGAACAAATAGTTCCATGAAGCTATGCACCCATCTTTTCTGTAGAAATGTGTAAAACCAATGTTTAATTGTACTCTGGTGGCCTGTCCTCAATAATCATTTATACACGCAGCAACCTTATCACGTTCGCTCTGGATTTATTCTTTCTAGAACCTTGTAATCCTGAATGTGCGCAGTAGTTTGCTCTTCCAACCCCAACTAGATATCTGTGTCTATGATCTTACTGCCCTCGGTTACTTCCCCCTAACCGAATCATTCCCATTCTCTGGTCAGAATCCATTACTAGCTACATCTGCTTCAGTTCTGGAAGGGAGCTGCCTGTCCTGTAGCTCAGTGGTTAGAGCACTCGCTTTGCAAGTGAGAGACCTGAGTTCAATTCCAGGCAGAGGGCGAAACCTTGGGCAAGTTTCCTTACTCCACACAGAGCCTAATAATAATCCCTCCAAAACCAAAAACAATAATAAATTGGTCATTTTCAGTCTACGACTGTTTGTGGGACATTGCTGTGCGCAATTGGCTGCCGCGTTCGCCCACAAATATACAGTCAATTCAGTTTACAGTGTGTTCTGTGAAGCACTTTGGGATGTCCTCCCGACGTGAACAGCGCTATATCAAATGCGAGGTTTATTATTATTATTATTATTAGTGTGGATTTGTTTATCAGGAACTGCGAAAGTTCAAGAATAGAGGAGAAGATGGTTTAACAAAAGGGGATAGATTGACTGAGTTTGATGGTTTGGAGCTGAGCGGAAGAGGAATTTTCATTCCTTCAGTGGGGTCTAAAATGCAATATTCTGTTAATTCCGATGTTTCGTTTGAAAATCTCAGATTGCGAGATTTGAAAACTGCACACTCTGAATCCCAAGCAACTAAAATCCATGTAAGGCCGGTGATTTGCAAAGAACCAATCTTCGACCAAACTTTCATGACTTGGGTTTTACACTTTGGTGTTTTGTGAAAATCTTGCAAGCTGCAAATCCCAGCTCAAATCCAAATTGCAAACACTCCATTTTAGCCCCAAAAGGTTTATCTCCATCCTTTACTTCCCACTTTACAGGAAAGTGTGGAGAGCAACAAGTGAAATGATCATTCCCTGCAAGAGATGATGGCATCACATCACCCGATCTTTCAAGCTTTCATATTGGTGAGGCAGAACTCCCCAACTGTGTCAACTCAGAACTTCAGAAGCATCATTTGTCAAACTAAAAATAATCTGTTAGTTGACTTTGGGAATACTGTTTATAATTGTTCTCGTGTTCTGTACATTTCTTTAGTCCAACCTTAAATTTAGCAGTATAAGGTAGGACGAAGGAACTAAAAATACTTTAGTCATTTGTGACTGAGCCTGTATGGTACCAAATAGAGAGCATCAGTGGACTGTTACTAAAATACTACTCTTAAGATAAATCGTGGTGTTAACAGTTCCCAAACTGTAACAGCTTTCCAAGTATGAGAATTGACCTTTTGCTACGGAAATCTGCAAGACATGAACTCGCAATTGACAGGACCACACTTTTTTCTTTATCTTGAGCAAAACTCTTAATACAGGTTTTACTGTACTTCACAAACACCAAGGTTAAAGAGCATGATCTAATTCCACTAAAGGTATTGTCCACAGTGGAATCTCTGGCACTGAGACAGGCCAACTCTGCTTCATTGGCAGCAAAAGATGAATCCCTCTGTTTTAGTGCATGGTTGACTCTAGAACAAACAAACCCAACCTGAACACACCTCTAACACAAGCATCAAATTCCTGTCTTGAGTACCAGATCCCTTTCGTTTCCATTAACAAAACCCATGTCAAAAATTCTGTGATTCCTATTGTGTACCTCCAAGGGATGGAACCCTATCCATTCACTCCTATTGTGTAAAATTTCAGTAGAGCAACCACCTTCCCATTTATTCCCATTTTACTGCTTTATATGCAAGCAGACCTGTACCCAATTATCCTTTTGTTTAAATTAGTTGTTATTTCAAATACAACAACAAATTTATTGCCCAAATTCACCCAGAGACCTGGCTTAATCACATAATTGATTGAATTATATCAAATAAGCAATGCTTTGCCTTGAGAATTGCAATATTGCTTGACGATTCCGGAATACCTCTCAAATCCAAATCATTCAAGAGCATCCGATAGGATCAATCTCCAAGGCACTAATTCCCGACCCCCCCACACACACTTCCCCCCGCCAAGCACGCATCTTAACACAGCTAAGTAACAAAGAGAAGGTGCAAGGACAGGGAAACTTACACAGTTCATTACTTTCCAGCCCTTGTAGAACCGCTCTCACGTACAAAGGTGCAATAGAATGCAAAATAGTTCATGTCTGGGCATAGGGACATCTGCCTTAGTGAGACTGCAAAGCAAACCTAAATTAGGAGGACAAAGTAACCAATCGTTTAGTTACTAAGCAAGTTTAACCCAAATATCAGATTCCTTTATCATTGAGAAAGATAGAATTGTGTTTAAAAGGTTATTGAAGGTTACTTAAATAGAAAATTCCTCACTGCACATTTTGATTTGACAGCTTAAATTAAAAAAAACAATACTCAAGCATCAACCAGGAGATGCTGCTGCATAATGTTTGTGGCATTAAACACAAGTGTAGGGGATATTGATCTGTAACAAGTGTACCACACACATGTTCCCTGCAGAAGTTTGCTGACATTTGGTGACTTGTGTTATCTTTTAGGAGTTTGCAAGACTGCTGCCGATCAGTGTTAACGCTCATAAGATTTTCAAGCTTAATCTGAACTAGTGCTATCCTGTAGGGAGTTGCGACTTTGCTGAGTGTCCCAAACATATTATCAGCCGGTAAGTTTGTAAACTTGGTAATTTTGCTAGGCCAAGGTAGCCAGTGTTACCATCTTATCCTCAAAGAGCTAGGGGATTCTACAAATTCAGTCCCAAACCCAACTTTCCGATAAAATCTGCAGTGAAAGTCTTCTCACTTGTTTATATTGTGGTGAAGTGACATCTAAAGTTGACATGAGTCTAAGCTGAGCAGTAAATCAGTCCAGAGGAGATTGGGCAGACACATTGCAAACTAAAGTACACTCAATTAAGTTAGTTCTCTAGTTCACCTGATAAAATAATTCAATGTGCAGATTCACTTTCCATTCATCATACTGTATTTTAAAACACCTATTTATTCACTGACATGTATCCAACATCCAGTGTAGGATTATTATTTTTTTAGACACAAACAAGTGAAGAGCAATGGCCTTTTCTGGTCTCGCCCATTCCTATGGTCCCTCTCACTCCATTATCCAATGTACCAATTCATCTGTGATTTGTTACCTTTAGCGAAGATTCGCATCTACAGTATCTCATCACAGACGACACCCCCCAAACTGAATCAATCTCAATTACAGCTTGATTTATAATTTCTCCTTCAATTAAATGCAATTCTATTTGAACCCAGTTCCCGACCTATTCATTCATATTGTAACATTCGTCAAATTTCCTTACCCCACACACCTCTGTTTACCTAGCAGTAAGTAGGAATCGCATTGTTAGTTGATTGGTGGATTGCTTTTCCGGGGATAATAATCCTTAAAAATAAATAATAATTTGGTCACTCAATCCACAACTGTTTGTGGGACGCTGCTCTGCGCAGTTGGCTGCTGTGTTTCGCTCACAAATATACAGTCAATTCACTTCACAGTATATTCTGTGAAGCGCTTTGAGACGTCTAGAAGACGTGAAAAGCGCTATATCAAATGCAAGGATTATTATTATTATTGTAGAAATTCCTGATGTTTTGTCTTGTGTTTGCTCACATTATGGTCCCTTACTGAACTGAAATTGAAGATACAAATATTTTTCCTTCTTCTTAGCCTATGATAGCCCTAAACTCCTGCCAGTATTTCTTTTCTCAGATCTTACATTCTATGATAGATTCTATTCTCTTACATCGCAATACACTCAGCCATAATCTATAAGTGCTACATAACTACAATTGATATTTTTGTACAGGCGGGAGGTAAGGTCTTGGGGGATTAGTTACCCACCCACCTGCATGGATCTCTTGTCAACCCTGCCACAAAGTGTACTTTCATTATGTAACTGAGGTGCATTATTTTACCAAGGTGCATTATTTTGGCAGAGTGCAAACTTGTAGCTGGCCATATGCTCCAGGAGAGAACTTCATCTTCCCAGCATGGAGCCATGTGTTGTACAAGTGAAGCAGTGGTAGCCATGTTCTAGATCTTATAGGGCTTCACAGTCCGACTGTGCATAGTTACTCTGCACCACATTGGTCTGTTTAGCTTTGCTGAATCTGCTCTCATCTCTCCGTGTTTTTCCATTTCTATCTTGATAAAGCATGCAAGGATGCAGAGCCTAACCTGGTCAGAACTAAACATGGTATGAGTCTCTACAGGAAACAGGCATTCCACATAGATTACAAGAACTTTACAAAGATTGAGGAGATCTCCAGGAAGGAGATCCCATGGTTGAGTCCAACTGAGTGTCAACCATTACCTCATTTGAATTCAGTGATATGACAATTTTCCAGTCTTCATTGGCAATGGCGTAATTGCAGTAAGTCAATAGATGTCATACCAGAGCACTGTGCCTCCCCACAATCTTGTAGTGGAGTTCTGTAGTGTAGTAGTTAGAGCATTTGCCTCACAAACAAGAGGACTTGGGTTCGATTCCCAGGCAGGGCAAAACTTTAGGGATGTTTCCTTACTCCACATGCCTGAGTTTACATAGCAGTAAGTAGGAACTCGGTTGTCAGTCGATTGGTGGATCACTTTTCCAGGGATAATAATCCCTCCAAAAAATAAAAATAATTTTTAAAAATTGGTCAATCTATGACTGTTTGTGGGACACTGCTGTGCGAAATTGGCTACCGCATTTCACCCACAAAATGCAGTCAACTCACTGTACAATATATTCAGTGAAGCGCTTTGAGATGTCTCAAAGATGTGATAAGGCGCTATATCAAATGCAAGGATTACTATTATCATTATTGTTATTGGCAGTGGCTGGTTGCAATGAG